CGTTCACAGCTCCTCCCACCCGGCGTCAGGAGCTTCAAGCACCAAGGGGCGTTCACAGCTCCTCCCACCCGGCGTCAGGAGCTTCAAGCACCAAGAGGCGTTCACAGCTCCTCCCACCCGGCGTCAGGAGCTTCAAGCACCAAGAGGCGTTCACAGCTCCTCCCACCCGGCGTCAGGAGCTTCAAGCACCAAGAGGCGTTCACAGCTCCTCCCACCCGGCGTCAGGAGCTTCAAGCACCAAGAGGCGTTCACAGCTCCTCCCACCCGGCGTCAGGAGCTTCAAGCACCAAGAGGCGTTCACAGCTCCTCCCACCCGGCGTCAGGAGCTTCAAGCACCAAGAGGCGTTCACACCGGACCCAGCGTCAAATATTGCGCGTCAAAAGCGTTTTGAAAGCACCTTTAGAGATAGATTGAGGAGCTCAGTCACACGGAGGGAGCTCGGAGCAGAGCCTCCGCTTGTCGACGTTGAGAGAAACCAGCTGAGGTGGCTCGGGCATCTGTTCCTCCTGGACGCCCCCCTGGGGAGGCGTTCCGAGCACGTCCCACCGGGAGGAGGCTCCGGGGAAGACCCAGGACACGCTGGAGGGTCTCTCAGCTGGCCTGGGAATGCCTTGGGTTCCCCCCAGACGAGCTGGAGGAAGTGTGTGCTGCCCCTGCAACCAGGCAACAGATGAAGCGGAATAAAATGAATGTGGAAGTTACAGTGGATAAAAAATGGGAATTTTCGCGCAATTTTGTGTATTTTTTACCAAGGATGGTACTTTGACTAATTATTTCTCAAATTTCCACAATAAAAGTTACAGTAGACCAAAAGTGACATGTTTTGACCGTTTTTGAGGTATTTTGAGGTATTTTGGACCAAAAGAGCTTAACTCAATATTTCTCCAAATGTCCACAGTAAAAGTTTCTGGTCTTTGGTACAGTGGTAGAGGGCAATCATGAGGTCATGAATCAAGTGAAATTAGTCGCACACCTTTTTACAGTAAATAGTTACAATTGTTGAAAATTGCACTTGCGGACCAAATTGTGTACTTTATATATGTAAACAATAGTACACAATAGAGCGGCTATCCTCCTGTGGACTCACAGCCTGCAGGAGGAGGGGGCTGGTGCTATGTGCACCGGGTGGCATCTCTATAAGGTTTTAAGCACAAAAACGTGTCTCCCAGACCCCAGACCCCAGATCCCAAAGTGCCTAGAGGCACCTAGTCTGCCGGAAATTATCCGAAGAAGATTTTTTTTTATTATGGCCCAATCCCAATACCCACTGCACCCTACACACCTCTATGAAGTGTGCATTTGTTGGAAGTGCACACCAGGGTTGGAGTGACAGGTTACAAGTGTGCACAAAAGGCAGAATTGGGACAGTGCACTGAGAGCAGGTGACGTCATCGACTCGTCCAGAGATGAACATTTTCAGACCTAAACTTTATAAACATGAAAGGTCATTTTGTCTGACCCTTTGGGAAACAAAATGAGTTGCTTCACACACGTTAAAATACATGTATATTAGTGGTTTTTAATTAGAGATAGCTGTATAATTTGAAGTTAAATGTGGGTAACTAACTATCTGGTCAGTTTTTATACATTCTAAGATTATTGTACTAAGTGTAAAGTTTAAATTTAATGTTATATAAACGCTTGTTTTGAAAAAGTTATTAAATTGTTAAAACACAATGTCCGTAATTCTTCATCACACGTTTATGCTTCTTTCCAAGTAACAGCAAAACTTATTTACACACATACTGCATATATATTTCAACACTTATATTTAAATGCATTTATGGGCAATATCCTTCGCCAGAGTGCGCAGAATGCAGGCTACGGCGAAGTGTGGACACCCTGTCACTCCCGTATTCGTCCCGGAAACCGGATTCGTCCGGAAGTTCAGTTTGATCCAATGAGCATACGCAGCAGTAGATTACGTCACGGAATCTGGACGGAAGCGGAAGTAAATATAACAAAATACCTATTCATGCCTAAACCAAGCCAAGCCAACCAAGCCTGAGCACAACCAAATGGTTGTGCTCAGTGGCGCTTTGTGACGGCATGGGGGCTGAAAGATTAGCGGAAGTCGTCTGGAACTCTCAAAGATCTATGGGAAACTCTCAAAGATCTATGGGAAACTCTCAAAGATCTATGGGAAACTCTCAAAGATCTATGGGAAACTCTCAAAGATCTATCTATGGAAACTCTCAAAGATCTATGAGAAACTCTCAAAGATCTATGGAAAATCTCAAAGATCTATGGGAAACTCTCAAAGATCTATGGGAAACTCTCAAAGATCTATGGGAAACTCTCAAAGATCTATGGGAAACTCTCAAAGATCTATGGAAACTCTCAAAGATCTATGGGAAACTCTCAAAGATCTATGGGAAACTCTCAAAGATCTATGGGAAACTCTCAAAGATCTATGGAAACTCTCAAAGATCTATGAGAAACTCTCAAAGATCTATGGGAAACTCTCAAAGATCTATGGAAACTCTCAAAGATCTATGAGAAACTCTCAAAGATCTATGGGAAACTCTGCAAGATCTATGGGAAACTCTGCAAGATCTATGGGAAACTCTCAAAGATCTATGGAAACTCTCAAAGATCTATGGGAAACTCTCAAAGATCTATGAAACTCTCAAAGATCTATGGGAAACTCTCAAAGATCTATGGGAAACTCTCAAAGATCTATGAGAAACTCTCAAAGATCTATGGGAAACTCTCAAAGATCTATGGGAAACTCTCAAAGATCTATGAGAAACTCTCAAAGATCTATGGAAACTCTCAAAGATCTATGGGAAACTCTCAAAGATCTATGGGAAACTCTCAAAGATCTATGGGAAACTCTCAAAGATCTATGGGAAACTCTCAAAGATCTATGGGAAACTCTCAAAGATCTATGAAACTCTCAAAGATCTATGAGAAACTCTCAAAGATCTATGGGAAACTCTCAAAGATCTATGGGAAACTCAAAGATCTATGGGAAACTCTCAAAGATCTATGGGAAACTCTCAAAGATCTATGGGAAACTCTCAAAGATCTATGGGAAACTCTCAAAGATCTATGGGAAACTCTCAAAGATCTATGGGAAACTCTCAAAGATCTATGGGAAACTCTCAAAGATCTATGGGAAACTCTCAAAGATCTATGGGAAACTCTCAAAGATCTATGGGAAACTCTCAAAGATCTATGAGAAACTCTCAAAGATCTATGGGAAACTCTCAAAGATCTATGGGAAACTCTCCTGTATTTGGGCATCGTCTGGTCCTCCTGGTTCTTCGCAGTGGATGATCTCCCATAATGCATTGCGTCAAACATGCGTGTGTGGGTCTCACACCGGGTCTCACGCACGTGCACAGAGGGTCTCACGCACGTGCACAGAGGGTCTCACGCACGTGCACAGAGGGTCTCACGCACGTGCACAGAGGGTCTCACGCACGTGCACAGAGGGGCTCGGCTCTGACCAATCAGAGCAGTTCATCAGAGCGGGAGTTAGAGCCAGAGCCAGAGGAGCAGAGTTTGTGGCACTAAAGTGTGGATTTAAACAAAACCAAAGGATTTAAGAAGAAAAAAAGTTCAGGACGACAAGGGACACTACACTGTAAACCCTGACAAGTAAAGTTTACTTGAAAAAAACATGGAAATAAATTGCGTATTAACTTCACTTGAATTCCTCGAGTACATCGTTTCTTGATATTACCAAGTAAACTCGAGTGATTGCAATAAAGTTTAAATTTCTACTTATGATCCGACTGGGATTCGTACTCAGAACCCTGTAGGTGAGAGGTAATGGTGCTACCCACTCAGCCACCAGGACACCCTGCCATTGTCACACCTGCCTCATTAAAGACTCTACACATCAAAATGTCAAAAGTGAGGCTTACTTGAACAGAAACAGTTCAATTCAAAGAAAACCCTGAGTGACATAGGCAAGCTTTAAATAAACTAACAATAAATGAGTAATATCTACTTACTGGGAAAAATCTATTTAAAATAACTTGATATCTGAAGTAGGATTGAAATTAGGGTTTACAGTGTAACATCCCCACAAAATCTGACCTTTATGAAAGCTGTAGGTTCTCTGTCAGGTTCTCTGTCAGGTTCTCTGTCAGGTTCTCTGTCAGCTGAGGTTGAGCTATTTTAATATGCATTGAGTTCTATGGGGAAAATGTCTGGGTAGCCCACGTGAATTTAGTCTGGTTCAGTCTGGTTCAGTCTGCAGTACCGCGAGAATCCCCCGAGCACATGAGTTATTCAGCTCCAAGCTGTAATACCCTGTCCAGTTAATATAATAGATCCATGGCCCAAACTTAACCAGCCATTCCCATAAATGGCGGCACGGTGGCTGAGTGGATAGCACTCTCGCCTCTCAACAAGAAGGTTCTGGGTTCGAATCCTGGTCAGGCCAAGGCCTTTCTGAGTGGAGTTTGCATGTTCTCCCCATGTCTGCGTAGGTTTCCTCCGGGTACTCCAGGTTCCCCTACTACTAAAAATATGTCCAATAGTTCTGGCATGCGGCCCCATACTGGCCCCTCCCATCTCTGTGGGGAGTGAGTGGACGAATGCCAAAAAATAACTATTGTAAAACCGCTTTGAGACTCAGATCTGCAGTGAAAAGGCGGTATATAAATAAAGATTACATTACATACATAAAATAACCCCAACCCAGCCTTAACCCTAAACTTAACCAGTCACCACTTAACTCATTGTGTCCCATTGACGCATTAATACGTCAAATGCCTTTTTCACTATTTTCACGTTCCCAGATGTCTATTGTATATAATATGTATGGGGATGACTTGAGACCATATTTTATCGATCCAGCAGGTGGCAGCCTTTCTCTCTGAATGGTTTGAAAACAGTTAGATGCACATGTTGTGCCTCTTTTTTCTCAACTTTCTGGTGATTTCAGTAAAACTTCCCTCTACTCGACAGAGGATTACAGGGGAACGGAAAAAGCTATAAACAAAATTCTTTTTGCTGAGGAAAGTAGACAGTCCATTCTTTTAGAATCTGTGTCGGATTTCAGATAGTCATAGTACACAATATTCTGTGGGTCTTTAAAAATCAGTACAAAACCATCAGAAACGGCTGGCACTGTGGGAGTACCTGTTCTGAAATGGGCTGGCAGGCAATGATGGCTCGTGCCGCGTCGGCGCTTCGGGGCGTGAGCCGAGAAATCCCTGAAGTTTCTATCGGAGCGCGGGCCGAAGCTTGAGTTGTTTTAGATGAGTGACGTCACTAATGACGTTTGAAGCCTCGGGAGCACAGGATATGGAGCGATTCATGAAGTACTGCAGAAGATCCGCTCAAACTGTGTGTTTGTCTTGGTGATTAATGTAGTCAGTGATGGAGAGGGTTCTGGTATCAGCTGGTTGGCTCAGTCGATAGGGAAGCAGGGCTGGGACCTGGGGGACCGGGGTTTGAATTTCACCGGGAGTGCTTCGATGTAAATACACGTGAAAGAATTTTGTCAGAAATGTTTTGGTTTTAAACAACTGATGGGGTCACAATCCCAATTGATATCCCCATTTGTGTCACGTCCTTTGAAAAGCACTTACACTTTCAACATGTTTTTTGTCCCATTGGATTTATAACATTGATTTTGACTTGAAAAGCTATAATCATTCATCATTAAATATGTATATAAATATATATCTACATATATGTATGTGTGTGTGTGTGTATTAGAGCAGACAACTGTACCAGTTACCAGTACATTATAATTTTATTGTCATTTAAAATATATTCATTTTCACTACTGATATTGATCATAATGAAACAGATGAATTAATGGGTCATACACAATCAAATTACAATTTTATTTCTGTTACCAGTATTAATTCCTATGCACCAAGAGCCTCACAAACAGTTCAATTGTCAATACAGATTTTGACCAACAGGAGGTTTGTGAGCATATGAAGCATCAAGAAATGAACCTTTTCTCGAACCAATGGATGAAAAGGTTCAACACTTCATGAAGCTTCATCAACCCATCACTACCACTTAAGGACTCATTACACTTTCTGACATGGGCAAACTGAACTTCCGGACGAATACGCACTCGCACCCTTTATCGGGAACGCGCAAAAAAAGGGGCGCGAGGGTGGAAGTGCGAGTATTGGGACGGGGCCTGTATTTCATGTTTTTATGATGTGGAACGGTGTATGTCTAGGAGCGGCAGCCGTCGGACCTCTCCCACGGCGCACGTAAACACTCGGGCTGTTTCCGACTGTTTCCTGTCTCTCACGTGTCTCCGTGATCCGAACCGGTCTCTGCTTCTCTCCCACTGCCCCAAAGATCCGGTGGACATGTCCCCGGGCCGCTCCTCCCGTAGCCCCGCGTTAGCCCCGCGTTAGCCCCGCGTGCTATGAGCTATCCCCGCTCTCTGTAGTGTTAGCATTAGCATTCAGAGCTCTTTATTGTTAGCATTAGCATTAGCTCGTGTTGTTGTTATTGTCTGAGGACATGGAGCTGGACCACCGGGACTTCTTGAACACTCCTCCCGTGAAGACAGTCCGCTTCGGGGGGACAGTGGCGGACACTTTGGCCAAACACAAGAAAGTGAGTCAGTGCAGATGTATTATTATTATTATTATAATATCATTCTTTGTGTGTATATTATATTATATACTACTTATATAATCGATGGATCCATGACCAGGAAGCATGTTGGGGCATGTCTGAGCTTTAAACCTTACAACATAAATCTGTATATCCTCATTTGATTGTTTACCTGCGATGGTGGCATTACTCTTTCCTTAAAAAGATACTGTTTAATCTCAGCTGGACTTTCCTGGTAAAATAAGGGCAATAATAGGTACTTATAATTTAACGTGACCAAACCTGGGTCCCCGCAGCCCCTCTCTGGTTCCCACAGATCTGGTTTGTAACTTGCCTCAGTCTACTTTAGCTACAGCTGTAACAACATCGGTATTCACTAGTCACAGACCTGCTGTTGTCTTTAGCTTCATCCACGCTAATATGTGGCACATTGACACGCCCCCTTCTGTCCAAATGCTCCTGTCTCAGACCTGGTGTCCTGAGGATATCACATCCTTTGAGTAAAAGCATATCTTACAGATCGACCGCTGGCTTCCATTGCAATATGTAACATTTGATATTGTGGAATAATAAGTTATTAAAAGGTTATTCTATATGCAGGTTTATTATTATAATTTATTCTCAGAAGTTTATAGGAGGATTTTCCCAAATTTTATGAAAGAACCGCCATCTCACCGCCCACTTTTTGAACAAAACTCTCTGGACTTATTGGATGAGCACGTATCACCAGAATGATTGACAGCAGGGAGGACCAATAGTCTTGATGATCAACCCGGGAGTATACCTTTAAGATTATACATACCAAAGTAAAGAATTTACCTGATGCATTTTGTGTGTGTATGTGTGTGTCTCTGTGACCGTGTTTGTCCGTGTGTATCTCTGTTTATGTGTGTGTGTGTGTCTCTGTGTGTGTGCAGGGGGACCTCAAAGACTATGAGCTGCTGCGACACCAGCTGACAGACCCAGAGATCAAAGTAAACACACTTTTCTTTACTTCAGTTCTGTAGCAGTTATCTGTGTGTTGTGTTTTCATGTTGTGTGTCTGTAGTGGGTTCATGTTGTGTGTCTGCAGTGGGTTCATGTTGTGTGTCTGTAGTGGGTTCATGTTGTGTGTCTGTAGTGTGTTCATGTTGTGTGTCTGTAGTGTGTTCATGTTGTGTGTCTGCAGTATTCATGTTGTGTGTCTGCAGTATCTTCATGTTGTGTGTCTGCAGTGTCTTCATGTTGTGTGTCTGCAGTGTCTTCATGTTGTGTGTCTGCAGTGTGTTCATGTTGTGTGTCTGCAGTGTGTTCATGTTGTGTGTCTGCAGTATTCATGTTATGTGTCTGCAGTATTCATGTTGTGTGTCTGCAGTGTCTTCATGTTGTGTGTCTGCAGTGTCTTCATGTTGTGTGTCTGCAGTGTGTTCATGTTGTGTGTCTGCAGTGTGTTCATGTTGTGTGTCTGCAGTGTCTTCATGTTGTGTGTCTGCAGTATTCATGTTGTGTGTCTGCAGTATTCATGTTGTGGGTCTGCAGTGTGTTCATGTTGTGTGTCTGCAGTGTCTTCATGTTGTGTGTCTGTAGTGTGTTCATGTTGTATGTCTGCAGTGTGTTCATGTTGTGTGTCTGTAGTGTGTTCATGTTGTGTGTCTGTAGTGTGTTCATGTTGTGTGTCTGTAGTGTGTTCATGTTGTGTGTCTGTAGTGTGTTCATGTTGTGTGTCTGTAGTGTGTTCATGTTGTGTGTCTGTAGTGGGTTCATGTTGTGTGTCTGTAGTGGGTTCATGTTATGTGTCTGTAGTGTGTTCATGTTGTGTGTTGCGTATCACATGTGTCTCTGTGTGTTGTGTGTCACAGGACGCTCAGATTGTGAACTGGCTGCAGGAGTTCAGAAGTTGTGTGACGCTGCTGAGAAAGGAACACGAGCAACTGGTACATGCTGTACTGGTGAGAGACACACACACACACAGACGCACACACACACACACACTAACTTCTGCCCTCTCCACAGCGCCTCCCCTGGGTGGGCCGCAGCCCCTCGGTGGTGGATGAGTACCTGTGCTTCCTCAGTAACCTGGTGTCTGCACAGACAGTGTACCTGTGCCCCTGCCTCAACATGGTGGTGGCTCACTTCATCCCCAGTAAGTGATGCACACTTTGTTTCATAGTAACACAAACCATGGTCTACAATGTATTAGAGCTACACATGAATGTGTTGGAACTGAAACTAAAACAAACTCACTGGGTCTGTGTGTGCGTGTCTGTTTGTGTGTGTGCGCGTGTCTGTATGTGTGTGTGTTTGTGTGCGTGTGTGTCTGTGTGTGCGTGTGTGTGTGTGTGTGTAGAGCGAGTGACTGTGTGTGAAGGTGGAGTGGACTTCTCCGACTCGGACGACGACGACAAAAGTAAGAAGCACATTGATGCACACAAGACTTTTTACACACAAAGGTCTGGTTTGCTTTCCCTGACCCAGTCTGGTTCGCTTTCACTAGAGCCAGTCTGGTTCACTGTCACTGAACCCAGTCTGGTTCAGTTGGGATAAAGATCCGTCACAAATATGTTTCCAAAGAACTAAACTTACTGGTTACTGTTTTTTTATAGCCCTAACATAAAGTTGTCTATTCACCAACAACAAACACTGTGAATGCATGAAAAACACATATGAGCCATCAGCAGAATGATGTCCCCATAAGGTTCTGAAGGTAGAGACTCTGCCATCAGCAGAATAATGTCCCCATAAGGTCTTGAAGGTAGAGACTGTGTGCCATCAGCAGAATGATGTCCTCATAAGGTCTTGAAGGTAGAAACTGTGCCATCAGCAGAATGATGTCCCCATAAGGTCTTGAAGGTAGAAACTGTGCCATCAGCAGAATGATGTCCCCATAAGGTCTTGAAGGTAGAAACTGTGCCATCAGCAGATTGATGTCCCCATAAGGTCTTGAAGGTAGAAACTGTGCCACCAGCAGAATGATGTCCCCATAAGGTCTTGAAGGTAGAAACTGTGCCACCAGCAGAATGATGTCCCCATAAGGTCTTGAAGGTAGAAACTGTGCCATCAGCAGAATGATGTCCCCATAAGGTCTTGAAGGTAGAAACTGTGCCATCAGCATAATGATGTCCCCATAAGGTCCTGAATGTAGAGACTGTGTGCGATCATCTGAATGATGTCCCCATAAGGTCCTGAATGTGGAGACTGTGTGCCATCAGCAGAATGATGTCCGCATAAGGTCCTGAATGTAGAGACTGTGTGCCATCAGCAGAATGATGTCCCCATAAGGTCTTGAAGGTAGACACTGTGCCATCAGCAGAATGATGTCCCCATAAGATCCTGAATGTAGAGACTGTGCCATCAGCTGAATGATGTCCCCATAAGATCCTGAATGTAGAGACTGTGCCATCAGCTGAATGATGTCCCCATAAGGTCCTGAATGTAGAGACTGTGCCATCAGCAGAATGATGTCCCCATAAGGTCCTGAAGGTACATGGTCCAGTTTATAGTCCATATTATATTCCAGATTATTGTCCAGTTTACGGCCCAGATTATAGTCCAGATTACAGTCTAGATTAAAGTCCAGATTTAAGTCTAAAGCCCCGTCCCAATTCTGAGTGCAATCGTGTTGTGACACAGAGACAGACGAGTACAGCAGTGGATCACAAAGCTCCTGTCAAACGGAGTCTCTGAACTACATCATGGACCTATAATAATAACATGGATCCACGTCATGGATCCAGCCTCAGTGAACGCCACTCGCTGTGGCCGCTTTGCGAGCGAACGTCACCACACACGTCACCAACACACGCTTTAAAAAAGTCCCCTCTGAATGACTCGCACATGCTTCAAAGCTTCCTCACGTTCCGCACAAATTTGTGTGCGGGTGTTTCATGTTGTTTTCTTTATTGTGGCGCGGCTTCCCCGACAGCTACTTTACTTACTATCGGAATGCATCATGGGATCACCCTCGCTCACAAGTGAGCTCCGGACCTCAAATGCGAGCGAGGGTGGTTTTTAAGGGTGTGAAGGCCCTCATCTCTTCACCCTAAGTATTGGGACACCCTACAACCCCCGCGGGCACGCGCAAAATCTAGGGAAAGGGTGCTTTTTATGGGTAACGGTGAGAATTGGGACGGGCCCTAATCCTGTGTTTTCAGATCTTCCCAGAAACTTTGAGCAGTGTCACCAGGCGCTGCAGGTCATCTCCAAATACGTGCCCTCGTAAGTGTGTGTGTTTATGTGTCTGTCTGTGTGTCTGTGTTTGTGTGTTTCTCTTAGCCCAAAGAGTCACCATGTGACTCTTTGACAAGTGACTAACCCTGCGGCAGAAAGAAAGAAAAGGTGTAGACTGAAGCTAATGCTGAAGCTAATGCTGAAGCTAATGCTAAAGCTAAACTAGGAAAGTTTAGAAGAACTGCAGTATTAGTGGCTTAATCCAGGTGGATGTGATTCAGAGGCAGTAAAGCTGTTGGACAATTAGCTACAGCAGTCTACGACACACTCAAAAGATAAAACACATGTCAAGTTAGAGAAATTAATGAATATAATAAACATGTCGGCTGTGATTAGATTTGATTATCCTTAGTTCTGCTGTAACCCTGTGTCTGTCCCAGGACGGGCCGCTTCCTCACCCCCATCCTCCTGCAGAAGTTCCCCTTCATCCATAAGTCATCAAAGACCCTGGTGAGCGTCACTTGATCACACTGGTGTCACATGACTACACGGGCGTCACATGACCACACCAAAGCAATTTCCTACTCTGTGACTTCCTGTTACTTACATAGCTGTTAAAATTATTCTGATTCTGATGTGTGTGTCCATGTGTGTGTTCACAGGAGTGCTACGTCCACAATCTGCTGCGTGTGACAGTGTACACTCCGTCTATACGTAGAGACGTTCTGGAGATTATCATCGACAAGATGCTGCAGCTGGATGTGAGTCAGACACACACACACACACACACACACACACACACACACACACACACACACATACACACATACACATACACATACACATACACATACCCAACACATACACACACACACACACACACACACAGACATGTACATATACACATACACATACCCAACACACACACATATATAGACACATACACACACGCACTCACACATGCACACACACACACATATACCCACACACTTTGTTGTATGTTTTCAGGTGAGCGCCTCTCGCTCTGACATCGAAGAGGCTGAAGAAGGTGCCTTGCAGCAGCTGGACGAGCCCACGCTTTTTGACATGGTAACTCTCTACATGGAACCAGGAGAACGCAGCCTCAGAGCACAAAGAGCCTTTGTTTTAATGTAATAGACTTAAATCACATTGTGAAAACGAAATAAAATGTATTAGGCCCACAGCCTCTATAGTGTCCAAACAGAAACATCTGTAGTGTCCCATGTTGATATAAAAAAATCCGTCCCCATGTTGATGCAGAAACATCTGTAGTGTCCCCATGTTGATACAGAAACATCTGCAGTGTCCCAAAGTGATAAAACATCTCTCCCCATGTTGATACAGAAACATCTGCAGTGTCTCCATGTTGATACAGAAACATCTGCAGTGTCTCCATGTTGATACAGAAACATCTGTAGTGTCCCCATGTTGATACAGAAACATCTGTAGTGTCTCCATTTTGATACAGAAACATCTGTAGTGTCCCCATGTTGATACAGAAACATCTGCAGTGTCTCCATGTTGATACAGAAACATCTGCAGTGTCTCCATGTTGATATAGAAACATCTGTAGTGTCCCCATGTTGATACAGAAACATCTGTAGTGTCTCCATTTTGATACAGAAACATCTGTAGTGTCCCCATGTTGATACAGAAACATCTGTAGTGTCCCCATGTTGATACAGAAACATCTGTAGTGCCCCCATGTTGATACATAAACATCTGTAGTGTCCCCATGTTGATACAGAAACATCTGTAGTGTCCCCATGTTGATACAGAAACATCTGCAGTGTCCCCATGTTGATACAGAAACATCTGCAGTGTCCCCATGTTGATACAGAAACATCTGCAGTGTCCCCATGTTGATACAGAAACATCTGCAGTGTCCCCATGTTGATACAGAAACATCTGTAGTGTCCCCATGTTGATACAGAAACATCTGCAGTGTCCCCATGTTGATACAGAAACATCTGCAGTGTCCCCATGTTGATACAGAAACATCTGCAGTGTCCCCATGTTGATACAGAAACATCTGTAGTGTCCCCATGATGATACAGAAACATCTGCAGTATCCCCATGTTGATACAGAAACATCTGTAGTGTCCCCATGTTGATACAGAAACATCTGCAGTGTCCCCATGTTGATACAGAAACATCTGCAGTGTCCCCATGTTGATACAGAAACATCTGCAGTGTCCCCATGTTGATACAGAAACATCTGTAGTGTCCCCATGATGATACAGAAACATCTGCAGTGTCCCCATGTTGATACAGAAACATCTGTAGTGCCCCCATGTTGATACAGAAACATCTGTAGTGTCCCCATGTTGATACAGAAACATCTGTAGTGTCCCCATGTTGATACAGAAACATCTGTACTGTCCCCATGTTGATATAAAAACATCTGTCCCCATGTTGATACAGAAACATCTGCAGTGTCCCCATGTTGATACAGAAACATCTGTGGTGTCCCCATGTTGATACAGAAACATCTGTAGTGTCTCCATGTTGATACAGAAACATCTGTAGTGCCTCCATGTTGATACAGAAACATCTGCAGTGCCTCCATGTTGATACAGAAACATCTGTAGTGTCCCCATGTTGATACAGAAACATCTGTAGTGTCCCCATGTTGATACAGAAACATCTGTAGTGTCCCCATGTTGATACAGAAACATCTGTAGTGTCTCCATGTTGATACAGAAACATCTGTAGTGTCCCCATGTTGATACAGAAACATCTGTAGTGTCCCCATGTTGATACAGAAAAATCTGTAGTGTCCCCATGTTGATACAGAAACATCTGTAGTGTCCCCATGTTGATATAAAAACATCTGTCCCCATGTTGATACAGAAACATCTGCAGTGCCCCCATGTTGATACATAAACATCTGCAGTGTCCCCATGTTGATACAGAAACATCTGCAGTGTCCCCATGTTGATATAAAAACATCTGTCCCCATGTTGATACAGAAACATCTGCAGTGTCCCCATATTGATACAGAAACATCTGTAGTGCCCCCATATTGATACAGAAACATCTGCAGTGTCCCCATGTTGATATAAAAACATCTGTCCCCATGTTGATACAGAAACATCTGCAGTGTCCCCATATTGATACAGAAACATCTGTAGTGCCCCCATATTGATACAGAAACATCTGCAGTGTCCCCATGTTGATACAGAAACATCTGCAGTGTCCCCATATTGATACAGAAACATCTGTAGTGTCCCCATGTTGATACAGAAACATCTGCAGTGTCCCCATGTTGATATAAAAACATCTGTCCCCATGTTGATACAGAAACATCTGCAGTGTCCCCATATTGATACAGAAACATCTGTAGTGCCCCCATATTGATACAGAAACATCTGCAGTGTCCCCATGTTGATACAGAAACATCTGCAGTGTCCCCATGTTGATACAGAAACATCTGTCTCCATGGTGATTTCAGGACGAGGACCTCCCGCCTCCCGCCTCCTCCATGTCTCACCCTGTGGCCGAGCGCCTGGACACTCTGATGGCTGTGCTCCTCACTTACATCAAGGACATCTGTCAAGTTCATGGTACAGTGTTCATGGTACAGTGTTCATGGTACAGTAGGGGTGTAACGATACGTTTTTAGAACGATACGATCCGTATCGATATGAGAGCAAACGATTTAGATAAAAAACGATATCTTAATTTTTAAAACGATATGATTCGATACGATACAGTAGATTTTGAACGATATATGATACATTAATATTGGCTTTTTCTGTAAATAAACTTATTACAGTAATTCAAACTTAGAAATCTAACTCAGATTTAAAGTGCTGAACAATCTTACAAATTTAACAAAAACATTTATTTTACCCAAGAGCTAACCTATATTTAACTGACATGAATAGAAAATAATAAAACAGATGTATAACAATGCAGTGCTTAAATGTTTACAGCACCACCTAAGTGCTTAAGATTAAATAATATATTTTTAATTTTATAGTGGTTAAATAAGAAAGAATCTGAAACTGGATTTGATGGAAATAAGTCCAGACTTAACAAGGAATATTTCGTTATTCCAATTGATTATTTTCTTAGTATTAAATAAAAATGATAATGTTAATTTTAAGTTCTTGATTTAGTGTTACTAAGTTCTTTATGTTGTCATGACGATGGTCCAACACTTTTGTTGAGCAGTGAGCAGTGTACTTTCTAGTGCCTTTACCTCGTGTAGAAGTTTGAAAATAGCAGCAACACCTTTTTGTTCTCGCTCTTGCACCGCAGTCACTGTGCTCGGGTGACTCTTCTGCTTTGCCAGCGATGCCGTGGCGTCGGGACAGATGCGAAGAGAAGCGTAGCAAGAAGACTAGGTCTACAGAGCCAATCGTTTTGTCAAGATTGCCCCCTTTTTTTTTATTTACAAAACCCGAAGTATCTCCTGACTGACGAAGGCACATTTGGAGGTTTAAAAGCCTCGCTGCTGCCGCTGCTGCCATTATCCATGTTGTTGTTGTTGTCGTGAGCTTGTGAGGTAAATGTACAGCGACGCTGCAAAGGCTCGTTGATGACACCGTCGAAACACAAATTACATTTGTTTAGATTAACATTCAGACAATAAAGAATATATAATTCCATTGCACGTTCTGACTATGATTTAATGTAAGAACTATATCGATACAATCGACATTTTCCATTTAAAACGATGTAGTGTCGATGTGCGGCTTGGATCAGGCCAAACAGCTGAGCGCCGATCTATGGAGTGTTCATGGTACAGTGTTCATGGTACAGTGTTCATGGTACAGTGTTCATGGTACAGTGTTCATGGTACAGTGTTCATGGTACAGTGTTCATGGTACAGTGTTCCTGGTACAGTGTTCATGGTACTGTATGCATGGTACTGTGTGCATGGTACTGTGTCCCTGGTACCGTGTTCATGGTACCGTGTTCATGGTACTGTGTGCATGGTACTGTGTCCGTACCATGAACATCCATCATGTTATTAGTGGATAATTCTTTCCATTTGTTTTTACTTTTGACTTCCTGCAGAGTCCTAGAGAGTTCTCTTCTGTTTGGGTTTGTTGTGTTGTGTAGTGCCTTGTTGTACAGTCTGACAGTCCCGGTGTTCCCAGGCTCTCTGCAGCAGACCAAGGACCTGTGTAATGTGGATGAGTGCCTTGTTGTACAGTCTGACAGTCCCGGTGTTCCCAGGCTCTCTGCAGCAGACCAAGGACCTGTGTAATGTGGATGAGTGCCTTGTTGTACAGTCTGACAGTCCCGGTGTTCCCAGGCTCTCTGCAGCAGACCAAGGACCTGTGTAATGTGGATGAGTGCCTTGTTGTACAGTCTGACAGTCCCGGTGTTCCCAGGCTCTCTGCAGCAGACCAAGGACCTGTGTAATGTGGATGAGTGCCTTGTTGTACAGTCTGACAGTCCCGGTGTTCCCAGGCTCTCTGCAGCAGACCAAGGACCTGTGTAATGTGGATGAGTGCCTTGTTGTACAGTCTGACAGTCCCGGTGTTCCCAGGCTCTCTGCAGCAGACCAAGGACCTGTACAGAGACCTGCTGAGTGTGTTTGATAAGGTCATCCTGCCCACACACGCCTGCTCCCACGTCCAGTACGCCCTCTTCTACCTCTGCAGCTTCAGACTGGTCAGTATTACCCAGGACTGAGGCCGTCGACCCAGGACTGAGGCTATCGACGCAGGACTGAGGCTGTCGACCCAGGACTGAGGCTGTCGACCCAGGACTGAGGCTGTCGACCCAGGACTGAGGCTGTCGACCCAGGACTGAGGCTGTCGACCCAGGACTGAGGCTGTCGACCCAGGACTGAGGCTGTCGACCCAGGACTGAGGCTGTAGACCCAGGACTGAGGCCGTCGACCCAGGACTGAGGCTGTAGACCCAGGACTGAGGCTGTAGACCCAGGACTGAGGCTGTCGACCCAGGACTGAGGCTGTCGACCCAGGACTGAGGTTGTCGACCCAGGACTGAGGCTGTCGACCCAGGGCTGAGGCTGTCGACCCAGGGCTGAGGCTGTCGACCCAGGGCTGAGGCCGTCGACCCAGGACTGAGGCCGTCGACCCCAGGACCGAGGCCGTCGACCCAGGACTGAGGCAGTCGACCCAGGACTGAGGCAGTCGACCCAGGACTGAGGCAGTCGACCCAGGACTGAGGCCGTCGACCCAGGACTGAGGCCGTCGACCCATGACTGAGGCCGTCGACCCAGGACTGAGGCCGTCGACCCATGACTGAGGCCGTCGACCCATGACTGAGGCCGTCGACCCATGACCGAGGCCGTAGACCCAGGACTGAGGCCGTAGACCCAGGACTGAGGCCGTAGACCCAGGACTGAGGCCGTAGACCCAGGACTGAGGCCGTAGACCCAGGACTGAGGCCGTAGACGCAGGACTGAGGCCGTCGACCCAGGACTGAGGCTGTAGACACCTCAGTCTTCCCTCTGACCTCTGACCTCTGCCCTCTTCCCTCTGCCCTCTGACCTCTGACCTCTTCTCTCTTCCCTCTGACCTCTTCCCTCAGACCTCTTCCCTCTGACCTCTTCTCTCTGACCTCTGACCTCTTCTCTCTTCCCTCTGACCTCTTCCCTCAGACCTCTTCCCTCTGACCTCTTCCCTCAGACCTCTGACCTCTTCTCTCTGACCTCTTCCCTCTGACCTCTTCCCTCTGACCTCTGACCTCTGACCTCTTCCCTCTGACCTCTTCTTTCTGACCTCTGACCTCTGGCAGGCCCTGTCCGAGGCCTTCCTGGAGCACCTGTGGAAGATGGTGCAGAGTCCGGCCCAGGCTGCGGTGCTGCGGCAGACCGCGCTCGGATACATGGGCAGCTTCCTCGCTCGGGCCAAGTTCATCCCCATTGTGTGAGTCCTCAGACCAGACCTCAGACCAGACCTCAGACCAGACCTCAGACCAGACCTCAGACCAGATCAGTCCTCTCAGATCAGTCCTCTCGGATCAGTCCTCTCGGATCAGTCCTCTCGGATCAGAACAGGAGCTAGTGGTCGTAGGAGCAGAAGGCCCATGTCTATAGTCTGAGAGAGTCTGGTTGATTTGATACTAGCGTGTCTTGAATGTACCATCAACAGCCTTGATGGTGTGTGTGTGTTCAGGACGGTGCGTGTCTTGAATGTAGGTCGTATCATCAACAGCCTTGATGGTGTGTGTGTGTTCAGGACGGTGCGTGTCTTGGATGTAGGTAGTACCATCAACAGCCTTGATGGTGTGTGTGTTCAGGACGGTCCGTGTCTTGGATGTAGGTAGTACCATCAACAGCCTTGATGGTGTGTGTGTGTTCAGGACGGTGCGTGTCTTGGTTGTAGGTAGTACCATCAACAGCCTTGATGGTGTGTGTGTGTTCAGGACGGTGCGTGTCTTGGATGTAGGTAGTACCATCAACAGCCTTGATGGTGTGTGTGTGTTCAGGACGGTGCGTGTCTTGGATGTAGGTAGTACCATCAACAGCCTTGATGGTGTGTGTGTGTTCAGGACGGTGCGTGTCTTGAATGTAGGTCGTACCATCAACAGCCTTGATGGTGTGTTTGTGTTCAGGACGGTGCGTGTCTTGGATGTAGGTAGTACCATCAACAGCCTTGATGGTGTGCGTGTGTTCAGGACGGTCCGTATCTTGGATGTAGGTAGTACCATCAACAGCCTTGATGGTGTGTGTGTGTTCAGGACGGTGCGTGTCTTGGATGTAGGTAGTACCATCAACAGCCTTGATGGTGTGTGTGTTCAGGACAGTGCGTGTCTTGGATGTAGGTAGTACCATCAACAGCCTTGATGGTGTGTGTGTGTGTTCAGGACGGTGCGTGTCTTGGTTGTAGGTAGTACCATCAACAGCCTTGATGGTGTGTGTGTGTTCAGGACGGTGCGTGTCTTGGATGTAGGTAGTACCATCAACAGCCTTGATGGTGTGTGTGTTCAGGACGGTGCGTGTCTTGGATGTAGGTAGTACCATCAACAGCCTTGATGGTGTGTGTGTGTTCAGGACGGTGCGTGTCTTGGTTGTAGGTAGTACCATCAACAGCCTTGATGGTGTGTGTGTGTTCAGGACGGTGCGTGTCTTGGATGTAGGTAGTACCATCAACAGCCTTGATGGTGTGTGTGTGTTCAGGACGGTGCGTGTCTTGGATGTAGGTAGTACCATCAACAGCCTTGATGGTGTGTGTGTGTTCAGGACGGTGCGTGTCTTGAATGTAGGTCGTACCATCAACAGCCTTGATGGTGTGTTTGTGTTCAGGACGGTGCGTGTCTTGGATGTAGGTAGTACCATCAACAGCCTTGATGGTGTGTGTGTGTTCAGGACGGTGCGTGTCTTGGTTGTAGGTAGTACCATCAACAGCCTTGATGGTGTGTGTGTGTTCAGGACGGTGCGTGTCTTGGATGTAGGTAGTACCATCAACAGCCTTGATGGTGTGTGTGTGTTCAGGACGGTGCGTGTCTTGGATGTAGGTAGTACCATCAACAGCCTTGATGGTGTGTGTGTGTTCAGGACGGTGCGTGTCTTGGATGTAGGTAGTACCATCAACAGCCTTGATGGTGTGTGTGTGTTCAGGACGGTCCGTATCTTGGATGTAGGTAGTACCATCAACAGCCTTGATGGTGTGTGTGTGTTCAGGACGGTGCGTGTCTTGGACGTAGGCTGAGTAGAGTACCATCAACAGCCTTGATGTGTGTGTGTGTTGTGTGTCTTGATCAGGACGGTGACGTGTCTTGGATGTAGGTAGTACCATCAACAGCCTTGATGGTGTGTGTGTGTTCAGGACGGTGCGTGTCTTAGATGTAGGTCGTACCATCAACAGCCTTGATGGTGTGTGTGTGTTCAGGACGGTGCGTGTCTTGAATCTAGGTCGTACCATCAACAGCCTTGATGGTGTGTGTGTGTTCAGGACGGTGCGTGTCTTGGATGTAGGTCGTACCATCAACAGCCTTGATGGTGTGTGTGTGTTCAGGACGGTGCGTGTCTTGGATGTAGGTAGTACCATCAACAGCCTTGATGGTGTGTGTGTGTTCAGGACGGTGCGTGTCTTGGATGTAGGTAGTACCATCAACAGCCTTGATGGTGTGTGTGTGTTCAGGACGGTGCGTGTCTTGAATCTAGGTCGTACCATCAACAGCCTTGATGGTGTGTGTGTGTTCAGGACGGTGCGTGTCTTGGATGTAGGTAGTACCATCAACAGCCTTGATGGTGTGTGTGTGTTCAGGACGGTGCGTGTCTTGGATGTAGGTAGTACCATCAACAGCCTTGATGGTGTGTGTGTGTTCAGGACGGTGCGTGTCTTGGATGTAGGTAGTACCATCAACAGCCTTGATGGTGTGTGTGTGTTCAGGACGGTGCGTGTCTTGGATGTAGGTCGTACCATCAACAGCCTTGATGGTGTGTGTGTGTTCAGGACGGTGCGTGTCTTGGATGTAGGTAGTACCATCAACAGCCTTGATGGTGTGTGTGTGTTCAGGACGGTGCGTGTCTTGGATGTAGGTAGTACCATCAACAGCCTTGATGGTGTGTGTGTGTTCAGGACGGTGCGTGTCTTGGATGTAGGTAGTACCATCAACAGCCTTGATGGTGTGTGTGTGTGTTCGGGACGGTGCGTGTCTTGGATGTAGGTAGTACCATCAACAGCCTTGATGGTGTGTGTGTGTTCAGGACGGTGCGTGCGTGTCTGGATCTGCTGGTGTCCTGGATCCACTCGTACCTGGACTCTCAGGACTCTGTGGACAAACAGTTCTGTGACCTGGACCTGCACGGGCCGTTCTACAGCGCCTGCCAGGCCGTCTTCTACACTCTGGTGTTCAGACACAAGGCTATACTGGAGGGCAACATGAAGAGAGGTCAGAGAGAGACACACACTGACACACACACACACACGCACATACACAGGCACACACACACACACAAAGGCACACACACACAAACACACACACAGACCGGCACACACACACAGGCATACACACGCACAAACACACACTGACACACACACACACAGGCACACGCACTGACACACACACACACAGGCACACGCACACGCACACACACACACACTGACACACACAAGCACGCACACACACACACAGAACCATGAACCAATTCCAGCAGCTTTCAGTGTAGTGTGTCCCTCACTCTACCATGTGAGAACATACATGGTTCTTATCTGTATTGATGTGGAAAACGTGGGAAACTATCAAAGCAGACACATTTAAACCATATGAGTTTTTATTCATTTGGCTGGTGCTTTGAGGCAGAATAAAGTACCATGTATCGCTGTCAAAATAGGTATTTATCACTGCCAGTCCCTAAAGGAGCATGTACTATCTATACCATCAAGATCTATCTATACCAGGGGTGGCCAACCCGCGGCTCGTGAGCCGCATGCGGCTCTTTGGCTGGTTCCGTGCGGCTCTCGGGCTTCCACACGACAAGCGTCAAAAACGCCTCGGTGGTGGCGCTGCCATTCATTCTCTATGTAGTTCTGACCCATAGTAAAGGCCGACCCCACTCCACTAGCCAGGCCACCAAAACAATCTGACGTCGGCGAACGTCAATTCTGATTGGTCAGATGCGCTGTCAACCACTCTGCAGCCGCTGCCTCAGCTGTTAAATATCATAACAAACAACACGTTGCCTCGACCCATGACGTCCGTACGGAAAACAGTTCCTTGGTCGCTGGATGAGGGCAACACCTTCCTCAGTTTGAGGAGAGGACACCAGCCTGAGCTCGATGGTTCCACCAGAAACCAGAAGGTGTTTGTGGAGCTAGCACTAAGGACGGAGCAGAATGATTCCCACAAACATGACAATGCAGAGAAAAGTTAAAAAGCTTAAAAGTGACAACCGTGAAATGAAAGATCGCAGCAGCAGAAGTAGAGGCAGACCCGAAAAGTCTGGAGGTGGTTTGACCAAATGGATTACATTTACGGACATCGGCTAACACCGGCTAACATGCTAAAACCAGCTAACAACAACTAGCATTACACCAGGAGATAAGCCAACTCTGCCTGGTGAGTGTCTGTCTTCAATCAAATGCAAAACGTATCTGGTCTTATACTGAGCATGTGTCTGTGGTTCTAAATCAGCTAAAGTGGTGTTGGTGTTATGTGTCAAATTTATATCTTTTACTAAATACAGTCAGAGAGTGAATCATGGTTCGATAAAGACAGTTGTGTTTCTGCTGAACACTGGGTTGAAACTTGATTTTTTTTTCTTGGTTAGAGATTGAAAGCATTCATTTCGGAATCATAATTGATGTTCGCTGACGTGCAATTGTTCTGGTATCGACTCGCCCGGTTAGAACCAGGGCCGAACCATTAATAAAAAGTACCGGGGAGCGGTTGAAGCGAGCGGTGGAAGCGCCCGCAAACCAGGGAGAGTCGAGTCCAGCCCTTTAGTGCTGTACGAGTCAATTTCTGTCATTATCATGTTGATGACATTTACATCTGTCTGAGCAGCAGATTGACTACTAAATCATCCATCAACCATCATCATCTTCTTTCCGCTTCATCCATCTGCCGGGTTGACAGGGGCCAGCATTCTATAGCAGAAGACGCCCAGACTTCCCTATCACACTCACTTCATCCCGCTCATCCGGGAGGTGAATTCTGAAAATGTTCCATTTCTTTCTTAACTTGATACGAGCAGTTATTACAGCTGTACACGCCACAGAAAAAAAGAGCATTTGATTCCGGAATCAGTGAAGGATTGACATGCTTTTAATGGGGGAGTTATACTTCCTGTCTCTCAGAGGTCTTTCATACCACGAGCTGACGTCAGCTGAAACCCAGTTGATTGTTCAGAATAAAGGATGATATATCGGCTTACCCCATAGTTTAATTTTTAATACTTAAACTTAACTCAAGAATGTTTGTTAGACGCCTAATTTTGAGTATATTTTTTGCACAAACAGGTGTTGGAACAGTAAAATACAACTAATGGTTGCACTCTTTTCTGGCCTTTGTAATTATATCCCAGTTTTAAGTCATTGGTGTTGGTTTTTGTCATTTTTTGTTTACAGACTCAGGTATATAGGAAAAGTGGATATTTATGTCCACCCTCTTCCATCTCTGTGTGGAGGTGGGAGACAAATGCCCGCTATTGTAAGGCTTTGTGGATCGTTGGTTCTGTGAAAAGGCGCTATATAAATAAAGATTATTACTTATGTCCAAACATAATCCATTTTTCACAATTCACCCCTTTCGGTGCATATTTGGTAGCTTCTCTCGCTTCCTCGTCGACCCCTCTCCCATCCTCAGTCCTATCCGAGGTCAATTGTCTATAGGGGGACAGTTATAAAGATGGTTTAGAAATAAACTTTCACACTTACAATGAAGTCATAAATCTCCAAACAGCATGTTGGGGAATTACTCTTGAATTAAAACACAAAGTTTGTATCCAAATTAGAAAATCTTTATATATTCTTAACATCTTTTTATGTAAAGACATCTTCATAAGCCTGACACCACTAACTCAGATTCCAGTGATCTATTCACACAATAAGTTCATGACGTGAACTTACTACAGTCTGTACTTTTTTAAACCTGCATCTGCCCCTACACCTTGCGTCTAACAGTTTGAGGTTTATTATTGGTTTAAGGGAAAGAAAATCGGCGTGCCAGGGGCTCTGAGTGGAATGTTCCTCCTTCTGCCATTATGCCTATGTTCTTTCATTCTCTCTCCTTGAATCTTGCACCGTCTTGTTTTTCTGGGGGAGGTAATGTCTTATACCGTTGGGGCGTAGGTTTGCGTGGGGACCATGGGGACATGTCCCCACCAATATTTGGTGAGGACTAAAAAGTCCCCACCAAAATGACATGTGTCCCGTGACCCGGACGGTCCGGGACACATGTCTTCCGTTTGTGCACACGTCGCGCCTCCTCCTCGCCTCCAGAGCAACAGCAGCAGCAGCAGCACGTGACCCGTTCCGTTCTCTGCAGTGATTGGCTGTCTTCTTCAGCGCCAAACTGAAGCACTGAGCAACTGTTTAATTTTTAAAAGCTTTTTTTTTCGTTCCCTGAGCGTTGTAGCACGTGAGTAATCAGAGGAAAGTACTGTAGAACTATTACCATTCAAAGTACTTACGTTATTTCTAATCTGTCAGCGCACTGTTTAATGTTCCGAGGAGCTCACACGGCACAGAGACAGAACAGAACTGGCTCCAATAAAGAAACAGGTTGGTTGAAAGGCTGAAAAAATACTTATTGTGCTCTTACTATCCAAAATGTATAAGTGGGTGTGTTGTGTGAATCAGGATAAACTAGGGATGAAAATATTCCACGGATCCACGATTTACAACCTTTATCTGCTGATAATGTAATTTCTGTGAAATGTGTGACAGCGGGCACTTGCTGTTATTTGCTCTAAGCACATTCAAGCGATGCACTCGAATGTGCACGTCCTGGTGCAGCTGCTGCCGCTTTGTAATGACAGCCGCGGCGCTCAGTGAAAGCACAGCTCTAACATGGTACCGAGCTCGGACCATATGCAGACAGAACCATGTTGCAAGTGCGGGTCTCCCTCGTATCTCCCCCGTTTCTCCCCTGTGTCTCTGACATGTCTCTCCCCTGACTCTTCCCAAAGCGCAACCAGCGCTCCCGAAATTAAAGCTCGGATACATAAATTTTCCATTGCGTTAACGATGCATGCTGGTTGTGCGCAAAACACACCACAACAGGTCATTTAAGTTTTTATTTTGCATACTTGAGAGCCCTGTGAGTCATTACTTGCCTTTTTGGGTTGAGAGTGGAATAAAAAAAAGAAAATATAGAAAAATCCACACTGTTACTTATTGCCAAACTCTTGTTAACTCATTGTATTGAGAAATACTATGTAACTTTTGACATTGGCCAAGTTATATAAATGATTCTGCAGTTCATGTATATGAATGTCTGTTTTTGATTGTCTATACCTTCTTATATAATTTAGAAAAAATGCCACCTCCACAAAAAAAGATAAAAGATCAGGAGCTTTTTTAACAGTTGGAAAGTAAGTAAGAGAAAGCACAAGTAATAGCAAATTATGAATTGTGATGATTAATCTTCTGTTAACATACATAACTGCTTCTCATTCAGTCTACAGCTGAGTTTAGTATAGAAGGCAACACACTATTGCAAATATAGTGTGTGATTACACAACAAATTCTGGGGGAGAAACTCTGGACCCCGTGTCAATGGGTGTAGACTCAGGTCGTAGTGAATGTCCCCACCAAGATTGGAACCAAACCTACACCATTGGTATCAGTGTGTGAACAATATGAAACAAACTGAAAGTAAAGTATCCCAGCTTTATCTGCTCTCATCTGCTGCATAATGGACAGTGTTGTGATGTCGCATGCTCTGACAGTTAAAGTGAAAATCTAAATCTTCCATCAGCACAAGGCCGGAGCGTTTACCACTTCCCACGATTGTTCCGCGGCACACACCACCTCAGGGACGGATTCTGTTATTATTAAAACCGTAACGATCACGGACACTTCCATGTTGCGTAAAAACATCACGAACACAAACCCGAACCCGCGGGAGTCCATCAGGAGGCCAGGCCAGGACTTTTGGTTATTACTATGAACATGTTAGAGTAGTATTGTCAAAGTTAAATATAAAACATATTCTTGACAGCACGAGAACAACCAACGTCACGCAAACGTCACGCAACTTCCCAACTCAGACATTCTGCTCAGACCAGTTGTAAGAAAATATTATCCTAATGTTAGATTCATGATTGCGCAATATATCTATTTATTCAGGTTCTGGCTTTCTCTAAATAAAGTCAACAAATTGTCTGAAACAATAATAACAACCAAATAATAGATTACAATTGTTTGAACACTCTTTCATCAGCCCGCGCTCGTGCGTAACCGTGCGTGTGTCTCAAATCTCTGAAAACACGAGGAGCTGCTTTCTGGACTCAGACTGGTCTCATCAGGAGCGTGCGTAATGGAGAACACTGCTGCGCGGCTGTGCCAAGGTCATTACGCACGCGGAGCTCTGTCTTCACACGCAACTTTTAGACCCCTGTCCCCGGTCTCCTGACACAGTTACACACTGTTACACACTGTTACACACTGTTACACACTGTTACACACTGTTACACACAGTTACACACTGTTACACACAGTCACACACAGCCATTGAGGCGCTCCCTCCCCACACGTCCCCGTTCCCCAGGAGAACTTACCCACGCACTCGTTGGCCTCCCGGGCGGTCGCGCGCTGCCAGGGCCGGTCATAGTGGAAGGGTTTGCACCTGTCGCACTCGGGGCCCGCGGTGTTGTGTTTGCACTCACACACCAGGTTTCCCTCTCTGTCTTTGACGCACTTTGACGCATGCCCGTTGCACTTGCACCTGCCGCCCACCTGCAGATCTGACACGGCGTACGCGTACGAGTCCCGCGCGAGCTCAGAGTCGTCCTCGTTCTCGTCTCCGAACGTGTGCAAGCGGCTGAACACCACCTTGATGTCTGTGGCCGTGACCCAGTCCTGCAGCACCGGGGAGTTATCGAAGTCATGAGCGGAGGGCCGCGCGTCCAGCGTGCTGAAGGCGATGAGGCCCCCGCTGAGCGGCTGCATGTCCGTGTGGGAGTCGGTGCAACACGCCTCCTTGCATCTGTTCTGCTTCCGTGATCACTGGCGCGCGTTCTGTCCGGTTTGAACACCTTCTGCTGGCTACGGAGTCTAGGAGTAGTCTCAATTTCTGGGAACGGGTCCAGGTCTTGCCCGTAGTTCCTATGGACTGTGTAGAGTAATGGACCAGAGACAGCGGGTAAACGGCGGGTGAAGCAGAACTTGCATGGACTCACGTACGTCACTTTCAAACTGTCTTTCTCCCGGAGTACAGAGTGAGAGCGTCACGTTTATTCGGCGCCTGACACGAACGGTCCTAACCGAGCGGCCAGCAAGCTCAGGTTGTGCGGGTTGTTTGATGGTCCGATGAGGATCAAGGGGCAGACGGTGGTCTCGTCTTTGGGGTCAGACGCGTCGCATACGTTGGTGGTCAAGTGTCCCGCGTGCGCTAAAAAAGTCCTCTGGCCCTCTGACCGTATACGACTGCAAGTAACGAGCGCGAGGAGCCGCGTGTATACCGCAACCGGGGCAGAGACACTGCAGCACGTCTTTCCCGAAATGCCCTGCGTATTAAAACGAAAGGAGTCCCCCCCCCCCCGGGGGGGGGGGAAGCACTGCACCTCCGCCGGGAGCCAGTTCTTCGTACGTAGCAGGGGTCCGGGGGCGAGCGACATTTGCGCTGCGAAACCAAAATGCCCTCAGCCCGCCGTAGCCCCCCAGAGCGCAAGCCAAGGCTTGCAAACGACGCACACTCGAGGCACGCGTCGAGACCACGAAGCATTGATCGTCAGGTCCCGGACATAAAGACTGTGAGTCCGCCTCCGCTGCTCTGAGTCCTGGCCAGAGTCTCCCTGGATGTCCAGGAGTCTGTGTGAGAGAGTGAGGGACTGAGGCTGTGGTCCAGGCGGCTGCCCCTCTCTCATCCTCCAACAACCGCCCCCCCCCCCCACTCCCCCCCCCCCCCTCCCCCCCCCTCTCTCTCTCTCTCAACACTCTCCTGCTCTCTCCGCGCTCCACCTCCAACCAACACCCCCCTCGCCCCCCCCCCCCCTTCTCTCTCCTCCTCTACTCTCTCCTCTCTCCTCTCTCAATCCTCCATACACCCCCCCCCCCCCTCTCTCTCTCTCCTCTCATCTCTCTCTCTCATCCGCTCCAACACCCGCCCCGCCTCCCCGCCCCTCTCTGCGAGCTCTCTCTCTCGTCGCTCTCCGCTCTCATCCTCTCCTTTCCCTCTCTCATCCATCCCCCCTCAAAACCCAGCTCCTCCAACACCCTCCCCCCCCGCCTCTCTCTCTCGCCTCTCTCTACGCTCTCCTCTCGCCCTCCAACACCCCCCCCCCTCTCTCTCCTCGTCTCTCTCTCTCTCTCACTCCATTCCAACACCCCCCCCCCCTCTCTCTCTCTCTCGCCTCTCTCTCTCTCTCCTCCAACACGCCGCCCCCCCCCCCCCCCCCTGACATTATCCCTCTCTCGTCTCGCTCTCTCTCTCTCTCCTCCTCCAACACCCCCCCCCTCTCATCTCTCTCTCTCTCTACTCTCTCTCTCCTCCAACACCCCCCCCCCCCCTCTCTCTCTCTCTCTCTCTCTCTCTCTCTCTCTCTCTCTCTCTCTCTCTCTCTCCTCTCTCCTCCAACCCACCCCCCCCCCCCTCTCTCTCTCTCTCTCTCTCTCTCTCTCTCTCTCTTTCCTCTCTCCTCTCTCTTCTCTCATCAGCATGCTGCGCTTTTTTAATATAAATGTCCAGTACTTTTAAAGGAAGTTATGAACATGTCGGGGTCCAGGATCTACTTTAGTTTTACTGTGACATCACCTGCTCAGGAACAACATGAGTTTTAATGTCTTTATAACCCACAAAACTATGACAGGAGACAAACAATTGTTATTTTCCCTCCGAGTCCTCCGGGACGACTGCTGCTGTGAATTAGGTGATACACAAATACATTGGCTTGAGCAGAGGTTGGACGTATCAGTGACGTATCAGTGACGTATCAGTGCGTGTATTGATTCTTGATAGTTTTCTGCTTCTGATGTGTTTCTTCAGATTCAAACCTGTTGCTCTCCGCTCAGACCACGGGGATAAGTGCAGCAGCAGCGACACCTGCTGGAGAGTCACTGTTCTGCAAACAGAACAGTCCGGTTTCGGTGTAGAAGCATTGACATTATCTCACTGACAGACCTATGAAGCTAAGCAGGACAGGGCCTGGTTAGTACCGTGATGGGAGACCTCTGGGAACACCAGGTGCCAGTGAGGCGGCTGCGGCTGTAAAGTGTCAAACTGTGGTTCAGTCAGGCAAGACACTTTAGAATAAGTGTGTGGGAGGGGCCGATGACATAATTGGTTGCCTCATTTCTGTTAGTGTGCCCCAGGGCAGCTGTGGCTACACTAGTTATTGATCATTAATCTAACAAAACAAGCAAATATTATGAGAGAAACATTATTTTATTTAGAAATGTTGACTCAGCAAAGAGTAAGTAATCTCTTTATATGTGGCACATTTCACAGACCAAAGTCAAACAAAGAACTTTACAATGTTGTAGTGATGCTCATTCTCTCCAAACGGTGACGCTTTAAAGGTAAAGGTGCACTTTATTAACCCCCATAGGGCAATTCCTCCTCTGTATTTGACCCATCCTGATGCCACGAAAGCAGTGGTCACCATAGTAACAGCGCCCAGGAGCCAATCTCCAGATGTTGATGCCCGGATTGGTCAGGACCAGAGCTGGCAGATTTAACCTAGTGATCATGTTTTACTGCTCAGAAAGACCCTGTTCCGACCGGGATTCGAACCCAGGACCTTTTTGCTGAGAGGCGAGAGTGCTATCCACTCAGCCACCGTGCCGCAGAGCAGAGTAGAGTAGAGTAGAGCAGAGCAGAGCAGAGTAGAGTAGAGTAGAGTAGAGTAGAGTAGAGTAGAGTAGAGTAGAGTAGAGTAGAGTAGAGTAGAGTAGAGTAGAGCAGAGCAGAGCAGAGCAGAGCAGAGCAGAGCAGAGCAGAGCAGAGTAGAGCAGAGCAGAGTAGAGTAGAGTAGGGCCGGTGGAAATGGGGCCTAACTGAGATTTGTCCTCCTCTCACGCAGTCAAACCAGGAGGAACCCTCTGTGTCCTGCTGCGGTGGAAACAGTTGGAAAAGCAGTGGACAACATTTAAATTATTGAAATATTCCATTCAGTACTTGTATTGTCCCGAAAAGATGCAGAACAGGAGCGGACAGCACAGTAAACATCTCACTGTAGCACTGCTGAGCCCAGGAACCTTCAGCAGCCTCAAGGAGCTGTTACAGGCCACAGTGAGTCTCTGCAAACTGGACTTTTAAAAGCGTTTCCACAGATATGCGGTGTACCTCATGAGAGCAGTATAAGTTTACCTCATGAGAGCATGTTCCATCGGCCATAACTGACAGAGCTGTGTACGGCCTTGTCAACGGAGAGATCACTGGTGACCAACGTATTTCACGTCATCTGCAGAATGTATAATTTTCCTGCAGAAGAAAACAAAATTGAAAAAGTAATTTCTTGTCGTATTCACACATTTGTTTAGATCCCAATGTTGTTTGTGTGTATAAAACATGTATAAACAGTCGGTGGCGCCAAATGACCAACGATAACAAACCTACAATGCTGTGTGTCATGGTCTTGGGCCTTTTTTATCTTTTAGAACTGTTTTCATGAACCTTTGCTGCCCCTGGCTGTTGGACCTGGGGGAGGTCTGGAGTCCACTCTCTCTTCTGGGTTCTGTTTTGTCTCGTGGCTGCAGGCGGCTCTCTGCTCCTGGTGCAGACGGCTCCTTGGATGGCGCACCCAGCCCTATCTTATCATGGTTTTATCTATTCTGTTTTATCTGATGTGACTCTGTGTGTGCGTGTGCGTGTGTGTGCGTGTGTGTGTGTCTGTGTCTGTGTGTGTGTGTGTGTGTGTGTGTGTGTGTGTGTGTGTGTGTGTGTGTGTGTGTGTGTGTGTGTGTGTGTGTGTGTGTGTGTGTGTGTGTGTGTGTGTGTGTGTGTGTGTGTGTGTGTGTGTGTGTGTAATCATTCGGGGTGGGTCTGCTGGATGGACGGGTTGACGGGTCATGGGCATACGTGAGTGACTGTTTGTAACCAGAATGTAAAACACTGTTTGTTTAAAAAAGTGATTGATCGATTTGATACTTACTAGTAAAAGTGAGTAATCGTAAAAAAATAAAAATAAAAATTTGGGGGGAATTTCTCTGAATACCAGTCAAAATTACGGCCCTGGGACTTCTTGTATTTTCATAATTCCTAGTCCTAGTCCTAGTGTTAAACATAAGCCTCTGTTCACTGTTGTCATGGAGCTAAAACAATCTTCTGCCTCTGGTCATTTGATCAGAACAGTAATGAGTTAGTTAATATTAGTCCCACAGTGGGGAAATTACAGAGACACCAGCTCAAGGCCTGTAAATAAGCACTAGATAAATAAGCACTGAATAACGTAAATAAGTTACAAAGTATCTATTTTTGGCTCGAATAAAAATAATACCGACTATCAAAAGTTTGTTCAAGCTTTGATTTGTTATTGTTCGTGCGTGCGTGTGTATATATATATATGCGCGCGTGTATGCGTAATGACGTGAACTCAGCTGTTTAGATGACGCCTTCACAGTCCGCACAAAAACTGGGAATAGGAATCACCACACTGCACTTTCCATGTAGTGTGTTAAATGTTTATTCTCCACAGTAAATATCTTTCACAATTATAACCCATGTTTACTACCAGTATAAAAAATAATAAAAACACGTAACATTACAAAAGCGTGGTGGCGCTTTTTAATTTGTTTATGCTTTTAACGTTCATTTTTTTGATTGTACGAAAGTTTAAATGGATTTTAAAGTGATTTACATTTTATTGTAAAGCACTTTGGTTGCCTTGAGTGCTGTAACGGCCTCTATAAATAAAAATAGAAACAAATGAAAATATAATGTACTTCAGGTTCTAAACGTTAACATCGAAACGAAAATTTACAAAAAGCCGACGCTACTGACTGGTCCTTGAACGCGGCGGCAGACAAGCGAAAGGGAAAAAACACACAGAGCAGCAGCAAAAACACAGACATCCTCCAGCTCCATCCTCCCGTTATGTGCCCGCTCCCAGTGCCTCTCTGACCGGCCTGCTCTGCTCCATACCCCCGCTCCCCTCACACACACACACACCCCCCCCCGGACCCCCGCACAGATGGAGCTGGACGAGGGCGCCGTGTACCAGGACGACCCCGGGGGCTCGTCCGCGATGATGTCCGAGCGCGTATCGGGCCTGGCCAGCTCCATCTACCGGGAGTTCGAGCGGCTCATCGGGAAGTATGACGAGGACGTGGTGAAGGAGCTGATGCCGCTGGTGGTGGCCGTGCTGGAGAACCTGGACTCGGTGTTCGCGGAGAACCAGGAGCACGAAGTGGAGCTGGAGCTGCTGAAGGAGGACAACGAGCAGCTCATGACCCAGTACGAGCGGGAGAAGGCGCTGAGGAAGCACGCCGAGGAGGTGAGGGGAGCCGGGGGGAGAGGAGGTGAGGGGGGCCGGGGGGAGAGGAGGTGAGGGGGGCCGGGGGGTGAGGAGGTGAGGGGGAGAGGGGGGAGAGGAGGTGAGGGGGGCCGGGGGGAGAGGAGGTGAGGGGGGCCGGGGGGTGAGGAGGTGAGGGGGAGAGGGGGGAGAGGAGGTGAGGGGGGCCGGGGGGTGGGAGGAGGTGAGGGGGAGAGGGGGGAGAGGAGGTGAGGGGGGCCGGGGGGAGAGGAGGTGAGGGGGGCCGGGGGGAGAGGAGGTGAGGGGGGCCGGGGGGTGAGGGGGAGAGGGGGGAGAGGAGGTGAGGGGGGCCGGGGGGAGAGGAGGTGAGGGGAGCCGAGGAGGTGAGGGGAGCCGGGGGGAGAGGAGGTGAGGGGAGCCGAGGAGGTGAGGGGGGCCGGGGGGAGAGGAGGTGAGGGGGAGAGGGGGTGAGGGGGAGAGGGGGGAGAGGAGGTGAGGGGGGCCGGGGGGAGAGGAGGTGAGGGGGAGAGGAGGTGAGGGGGGCCGGGGGGAGAGGGGGGAGAGGAGGTGAGGGGGAGAGGGGGAGAGGGGTACTGTGGAGGGTAGACTGTGGGGGAGACTGGAGGGAGACTGGAGGGTAGACTGGAGGGAGACTGGAGGGTAGACTGGAGGGAGACTGGAGGGTAGACTTGAGGGTAGACTGGAGGGAGACTGGAGGGAGACTGGAGGGTAGACTGGAGGGTAGACTGGAGGGAGACTGGAGGGTAGACTGGAGGGAGACTGGAGGGTAGACTTGAGGGTAGACTGGAGGGAGACTGGAGGGAGACTTGAGGGTAGACTGGAGGGAGACTGGAGGGAGACTGGAGGGTAGACTTGAGGGTAGACTGGAGGGTAGACTGGAGGGAGACTGGAGGGTAGACTGGAGGGTAGACTGGAGGGAGACTGGAGGGTAGACTGGAGGGAGACTGTGGGGTAGACTGGAGGGAGACTGAGGGGTAGACTGGAGGGAGACTGGAGGGTAGACTGGAGGGAGACTTGAGGGTAGACTGGAGGGAGACTGGAGGGAGACTGGAGGGTAGACTGGAGGGTAGACTGGAGGGAGACTGGAGGGTAGACTGGAGGGAGACTGGAGGGTAGACTTGAGGGTAGACTGGAGGGAGACTTGAGGGTAGACTGGAGGGAGACTGGAGGGAGACTGGAGGGTAGACTTGAGGGTAGACTGGAGGGTAGACTGGAGGGAGACTGGAGGGTAGACTGGAGGGTAGACTGGAGGGAGACTGGAGGGTAGACTGGAGGGAGACTGTGGGGTAGACTGGAGGGAGACTGAGGGGTAGACTGGAGGGAGACTGAGGGGTAGACTGGAGGGAGACTGTGGGGTAGACTGGAGGGAGACTGGAGGGTAGACTGTGGGGTAGACTGGAGGGAGACTGGAGGGTAGACTGTGGGGTAGACTGGAGGGAGACTGAGGGGTAGACTGGAGGGAGACTGGAGGGAGACTGAGGGGTAGACTGTGGGGTAGACTGGAGGGTAGACTGTGGGGTAGACTGGAGGGAGACTGGAGGGTAGACTGAGGTAGACTGGAGGGTAGACTGAGGTAGACTGGAGGGTAGACTGGAGGGTAGACTGGAGGGTAGACTGGAGGGTAGACTGGAGGGAGACTGGAGGGTAGACTGAGGTAGACTGGAGGGTAGACTGGAGGGTAGACTGAGGTAGACTGGAGGGTAGACTGGAGGGAAACTGGAGGGTAGACTGTGGGGTAGACTGGAGGGAGACTGGAGGGTAGACTGGAGGGAGACTGGAGGGGAGACTGGAGGGTAGACTGAGGTAGACTGAGGTAGACTGGAGGGTAGACTGAGGTAGACTGGAGGGAGACTGGAGGGTAGACTGAGGTAGACTGAGGTAGACTGAGGTAGACTGGAGGGTAGACTGAGGTAGACTGGAGGGAGACTGGAGGGTAGACTGAGGTAGACTGGAGGGAGACTGTGGGGTACAGGGTGGTCAAAGCCGTGTGGGGGTGTCACTGGTTACACACGTGGCTCTGGCTGCACTACGGCTCCATCTCCGCCACTGGCATGTAAACAACAGGCACGTTGACACCCTACGGTCCTCTATGACTCACTACGGTCCTCTTTGACCCCCTACGGTCCTCTATGACTCACTACGGTGCTCTTTGTGCTATAAGACCCTGACCCTAACCCACTTCACTCTCTCTCTTTTATTCGTTTCCAATGGGGAAGATTTCAGGTCTGACTGTAACAGGACTGAGCTGTAAACCAGGGCCACACCAGGACAGTCCTGGGTCAGACTCTTTATAAAGCTGGGATACCTGGGTTTTTGAGAGCTGATTGGCTGAGTGGGGGTGGTCCTCTCCTCTCTGTGAGTCACTATTTGACTCTTTGGGCTCAGAGCTGAGAGTGAGAGTTGTCTTTTCACTTCTGTCTGAAAAAGCCGAGTCCAAAAACACACGTGAAAACTAGTGATGACGCAAACTGTTCTGAGAGCGATGAAACAGGTGGATTACATTGTTATTGTATGTTTCAATAAAGTTGGAAGGTTTTGAACATTATAGAGCTATTAAAATCACTAATTATCTCGTTATTGTGACATTTCCTTCTCATATTGCAATGTTTTGACTTTAGAACTGTTCCCACCTGGGTTTTCCAGTTCTTAAGAAGACTAGGGTCAAATATGGAGCTAAAGACGGTTCTGGGTTCAATATCATGTTTTCCCAGGTTTCCTCCAGGTGCTCCGGTTTCTCCTAGCACCAAACATATATACAATAGTTCATGAGTGAAGTTTGTTGAGGGTCAGAGAGTTTTTGATGCAGTGGAGAGAATGGATAAAACTGGAACTCCAAAAAAAAATTTAAGTACGGTTTGTGTGAAATGTGCTCTCTACATAAAGATCACTTATTCATTAAACCAGGAATGGAACGACCAGTGGAAGGACCAGACTGATCAGACCAGAGTAGACCAGCAGCCAGACCAGACTAGACCAGCAGCCAGACCATATCCCAGTCATATACAGTGCCTTGCGAAAGTATTCGCCCCCCTTGAACCTTTCAACATTTCGCCACATTTCAGGCTTCAAACATAAAGATATAAAAATTATTTTTTTTGTCAAGAATCAACACCAAGTGGGACACAATCGTGAAGTGGAACGAAATTTATTGGATAAAACTTTTTAACAAATAAAAAACTGAAAAGTGGGGCGTACAATATTATTCGGCCCCTTGCGCTAATACTTTGTAGCTCCACCTTTTGCTACAATTACAGCTGCAAGTCGCTTGGGGTATGTCTCTATCAGTTTTGCACATCGAGAGACTGGAATTCTTGCCCATTCTTCCTTGCAAAACAGCTCGAGCTCAGTGAGGTTGGATGGAGAGCGTTTGTGAACAGCAGTCTTCAGCTCTTTCCACAGATTCTGGATTGGATTCAGGTCTGGACTTTGACTTGGCCATTCTAACACCTGGATACGTCTATTTGTGAACCATTCCATTGTAGATTTGGCTTTATGTTTTGGATCATTGTCCTGTTGGAAGATAAATCTCTGTCCCAGTCTCAGGTCTTTTGCAGACTCCAACAGGTTTTCTTCCAGAATGGTCCTGTATTTGGCTCCATCCATCTTCCCATCAATTTTAGCCATCTTCCCTGTCCCTGCTGAAGAAAAGCAGGCCCAAAGCATGATGCTGCCACCACCATGTTGTGTTGCTTTTACGCCAAAGCTGTGTTGCTTTTACGCCAAACATATCGTTTTGCATTGTGGCCAAAAAGTTCGATTTTGGTTTCATCTGACCAGAGCACCTTCTTCCACATGTTTGGTGTGTCTCCCAGGTGGCTTGTGGCAAACTTTAAACAAGACTTTTTATGGATATCTTTGAGAAATGGCTTTCTTCTTGCCACTCTTCCATAAAGGCCAGATTTGTGCAGTGCACGACTGATTGTTGTCCTATGGACAGACTCTCCCACCTCAGCTGTAGTTATCTGCAGTTCATCCAGAGTGATCATGGGCCTCTTGGCTGCATCTCTGATCAGTCTTCTCCTTGTTTGAGATGAAAGTTTGGAGGGACGGCCGGGTCTTGGTAGATTTGCAGTGGTCTGATACTCCTTCCATTTCAATATAATTGCTTGCACAGTGCTCCTTGAGATGTTTAAAGCTTGGGAAATCTTTTTGTATCCAAATCCGGCTTTAAACTTCTCCACAACAGTATCTCGGGCCTGCCTGGTGTGTTCCTTTGTCTTCATGGTTCTCTCTGTGCTTTAAACAGAACCCTGAGACTATCAAAGAGCAGGTGCATTTATACGGAGACTTGATTACACACAGGTGCATTCTATTTATCATCATCAGTCATTTAGGACAACATTGGATCATTCAAAGATCCTCACTGAACTTCTGGACTGAGTTTGCTGCACTGAAAGTAAAGGGGCCCAATAATATTGCACGCCCCACTATTCAGTTTTTTATTTGTTAAAAAAGTTTAAATTATCCAATACATTTTGTTCCACTTCACGATTGTGTCCCACTTGCTGTTGATTCATGACAAAAAAATAAAATTGTATATCTTTATGTTTGAAGCCTGAAATGTGACAAAATGTTGAAAGGTTCAAGGGGGCTGAATATTGAGTTAATGAATATTCTCTATCAAACAATCTGGTGTGTGTGTGTTTGTCTACATACGTTTGTGTCTATATGTACGTGTCTCAGTGAGTGTGTGTGTGTCTCTGTGAGTTCGTCTGTGTGTGTGTGTGTGTGTGTCCTGTCGCCTCTTGAACCAGGACCGAGTCAGGCTTCTGTCGGGACTTCAGTGTTTCCAGAGGTTTCATGACATAACATTGTGAGTCATTGCAAAAATAACGTCTGGAAGGATCTTAAAATAGAAACACAGGATATAAATATCTCTCACACGCCCAGACCGTAACTGTCACAACATGGCATTAAAGCTGAGGTCCGTAACTTTCAGACCACTATACAACCCTGTGATAAACCTGTGTCTCTGGTTCCTGACTCTAAAACCGTTTGCTTCCATCCCTAGTTTTTACATCATTAATTTTTAGGGTCCTGGTCTGGGTCTTAGTCTTGGTCTTAATTCTGCGTCTGGATCCTGGTCTCGGTCTTGATTCTGGTCTGGGTCTGGGTGTGGGTCTGGGTCCTGGTCTCTGTCACATCTTTAGATCAGCTTCTTCAGTCAGAAAAGTGAAAAGTCTGGGCCCTCCTCACTCGGCCTCAGCCCAAAGAGTCAGATTGTGACTCTCGGCGCTCGTTCCTACACAAATATAACATGTTTTTTAATAAGATTACGAAAATCCTGATTGGTTTAAAAAAAGTCAGATCTTTGAGAACCCTCCATATTGGCTCTCACAGACACAGCTGCAAGATGAATGTGTGAGTGTGTGACTGTGGACAGGAAGTGGACACAGTTCGGCATTTCCTTATGACCAAAACTGCACAAGTAAAATGTATAATGACATCCTACAGTTTAAAGTGCTATAGAAAATGAAAAATGTAAATCCGAGACGGACCCTGGTGCTCAGATCAATGTGGTCCATGGCAGCGCCTTCTTCCTCTTTTCCCAAACAGTTTTGAGAATGTCAGAACATCAGCAGAACCTCATCAACCAATCATGTGGCAGTATCAGTGTGAGGGGGCGGAGTCAGGTCTCACTCGCGTGTCCTTGTTTGGCTTTAGAACTATTGTTAATGTCATACCAGTTATTATTCAATCTATAAAGTTTTTCCCCCAAATCACTGTCCTCTCATGGTCCCTGTCCTCTCGTGGTCCCTGTCCTCTCGTGGTCCCTGTCCTCTCGCGGTCCCTGTCCTCTCGCGGTCCCTGTCCTCTCGTGGTCCCTGTCCTCTCGTGGTCCCTGTCCTCTCGTGGTCCCTGTCCTCTCGTGGTCCCTGTCCTCTCGTGGTCCCTGTCCTCTTGCGGTCTCTGTCCTCTCGCGGTCCCTGTCCTCTCGTGGTCCCTGTCCTCTCGTGGTCCCTGTCCTCTCGTGGTCCCTGTCCTCTTGCGGTCTCTGTCCTCTTGCGGTCCCTGTTCTCTCGCGGTCCCTGTCCTCTTGCGGTCTCTGTCCTCTTGCGGTCCCTGTTCTCTCGCGGTCCCTGTCCTCTCGCGGTCCCTGTCCTCTCGCGGTCCCTGTCCTCTTGCGGTCCCTGTCCTCCTGTGGTCCCTGTCCTCCTGTGGTCCCTGTCCTCTCGTGGTCCCTGTCCTCCTGTGGTCCCTGTCCTCTCATGGTCCCTGTCCTCTTGTGGCCCCTGTCCTAACACTGTCTTCTCGCGGACGCTTTCCTCTCGCGGTCCCTGTCCTCTCATGGTCCCTGTCCTCTTGCAGTCCCTGTCCTCTTGTGGTCCCTGTCCTCTCGTGGTCCCTGTCCTAACACTGTCCTCTCGTGGTCCCTGTCCTCTCATGGTCCCTGTCCTCTCTTGGTCCCTGTCCTAACCCTGTCCTCTCGTGGTCCCTGTCCTCTTGTGGTCCCTGTCCTCTTGTGGTCCCTGTCCTCTCGTGGTCCCTGTCCTAACCCTGTCCTCTCGTGGTCCCTGTCCTCTTGTGGTCCCTGTCCTCTCGCGGTCCCTGTCCTAACCCTGTCCTCTTGTGGAGCAGAAGTTCATTGAGTTTGAGGACGTGCACGAGCAGGAGAAGAAGGACATGCAGACACAGGTGCAGAGGATGGAGTCTCACTCACGGCAACTGGAGCTGAAGATCAGGAACCACAACGAGCAGAGTGAGTGTCACACCACACACTCTCACTCTGGTCTCTCTCTGGTCTCTCTCTGGTCTCTCTCTAGTCCAGGGGTGCTCACACTTTTTCAGCATGCGAGCTACTTATAAAAGGATCAAGTCAAAATGATCTACCTACTACAAAAATGCAAATCATATATTTATTTCAAAAAATATTCTTTATATCTACAATGAATGTTTATGTACATGCAAAACCGCATGAGCCAATATAGCACAACACAACACAATTACCTATGTACATTTTTTGTCATTACCCGAGTTTACTCTTATGACTTGCACTGAATTGAATCGGCCAGGGATGCATAGTCCGGAAAATTGGTGGTAACTCGCTGACAAGTTTGTCGTGGTTTAGCTTTCCTGCACTGAGCGCGGTTGTTTGCGCATGTGCAGTCACCTAAGTGTCAGTAAAACATTACTGAGTAAAACACAGATGTCATTTGACTGTGGTGCCATGTCCATGTGCCATGCCTGTTTTTTTTAAATCCAAATATTTCCCCTCCTCCGTTTATAAAATAATTTGCATCCACACATCTGCGTTATCAGTCACGTTCGTAACATTCCAAACATGTGCGTCTCTTACGTCCTGTCCTGCGTTGGGGAAAAACACAGAAGTGGGCGGAGTTCTGATGCAGACGCCGGTAACGGCACTTTTACAGTCATAGAAGACACTCAGAGTAAAGACGTATGTTTACAAGCACTGACCCCGTCCTCAGCCCTGGTTTAGTCCTGGTTTAGTCCTGGTTAAGTCCTGGTTTGGTTGTTTTCGAGCGTGAGTCCCTGCGATCACTTTGCTGCTCTCTGATGTGGAGCGAGGATGTTCGCTGCTGCGAGCATCTCACAGCGAACAGTTTTTAAGGTAGTATGATCCATGCTTCAGTGATCAGAGGAATTTAGGGGGGTACTGTGGCGTGCGAGAACGCAAAACTCCGGTTATCTCTGACTACACACAAATGCATTAACGGAGTTTTCAAAAATCTCCACTTTGCCCGGAGTTTTTTGTATATATTCGTTTAGAATGTGTAATTTTTTCATTTATTTAATGCGATCTACCAATACTACCTTTGCGATCGACTGGTAGATCGCGATCAACGTATTGAGCACCCCTGCTCTAGTCTATCTCTGGTCTCTCTCTCTGGTCTCTCTCTAGTCTATCTCTGGTCTCTCTCTCTGGTCTGGTTCTGGTCTCTCTCTGGTCTCTCTCTCTGGTCTCACTCTGGTCTCACTCTGGTCTCACTCTGGTCTCACTCGTGTCTCTCTCGGTCTCTCTCTGGTCTCTCTCTCTCTGGTCTCTCTCTGGTCTCACTCGTGTCTCACGTGTGTCTCTCTCGTGTTTCACTCTGATCTCTCTCTGGTCTCTCTCTTTGGTCTCTCTCTCTGGGCTGTTTCTGGACTCTCTCTCTGGTCTGGTTGTAGTCTCTCTCTCTCTCTCTCTGGTCTCTCTCTCTCTGGTCTTGTTCTGTCTCTCTGGTCTCTCTCTGGATTCTCTCTGGTCTGGTTCTGGTCGCTCTCTCTGGTCTGGTTCTGGTCTTGTTCTGTCTTTCTGGTCTCTCTCTGGATTCTCTCTGGTCTCTCTCTGGTCTCTCTCTGGATTCTCTCTGGTCTCTCTCTCTGATCTGTTTCTGGTCTCTCTCTTTCTTGTCACTCTCTCTGGTCTCTCTCTGGTCTGGTCCTGGTCTCTCTCTCTCTGGATCTTTTCAGTATTATTTAGTACTTTGTTTTTGTTTCTTGTATACATAGTGTGATAGTGAAATATGTTATTGATGGTTTTGATCTTTTTGTGTTTCATAGAACATGTTTTGTTTGGCTTTAGCCTTTGTACAATTCCTATTACTACATTTCCTGTGTTCACACTGTTTGATTGTCTGATCTGTTGTTGGTGAATCGACAATTAAATGGTGTGTGTGTGTGAGAGAGAGAGAGAGGTGGGGCAGTAATGAGATTATAGGATTTGAGTCAAAGTCATCCCTCTAATGCAGCTCACTGTGGATTAGGACAGAAGTCGTCGCCTGATACACGTGGGAAAAACTCTGCTCACTACAGACGCAGGAAGCGGCTGGATTATAATCTCAGTCTGAGTCTAGAAGGAGAGAGACTGGATTATAATCTCGGTCTGAGTCTAGAAGGAGGGAGACTGGATTATAATCTCAGTCTGAGTCTAGAAGGAGAGAGACTGGATTATAATCTCAGTTTGAGTCTAGAAGGAGAGAGACTGGATTATAATCTCAGTCTGAGTCTAGAAGGAGAGAGACTGGATTATAATCTCAGTCTGAGTCTAGAAGGAGAGAGTCTGGATTATAATCTCAGTCTGAATCTAGAAGGAGGACGTGTGGCATCACTCTGTCCTACAAGCACCAAACTGTATCCCTGTTTCCACCAGTCCTGCTCTACTCTACTCTACTCTGCTCTGCTCTACTCTACTCTACTCTACTCTACTCTACTCTACTCTACTCTACTCTACTCTAACTCTGCCCTGTTCTACTCTACTCTACTGTACTCTACTCTACTGTACTCTACTCTACTTTACTCTACTCTAACTCTGCCCTGTTCTACTCTACTGTACTCTACTCTACTCTAGTCTACTCTAACTCTGCCCTGTTCTACTCTACTCTACTGTACTCTACTGTACTCTACTGTACTCTACTCTTACTCTACTCTACCCTACCCTACTCTACTCTACTCTACTCTACTCTACTCTAACTCTGCCCTGTTCTACTCTACTCTACTCTAACTCTGCCCTGTTCTACTCTACTCTACTCTAACTCTGCCCTGTTCTACTCTACTCTAACTCTGCCCTGTTCTACTCTACTCTACTCTACTCTAACTCTGCCCTGTTCTACTCTACTCTACTCTACTCTAACTCTGCCCTGTTCTACTCTACTCTACTCTACTCTAACTCTGCCCTGTTCTACTGTACTGTACTCTACTCTACTGTACTCTACTCTTACTCTACTCTTACTCTACTCTACTCTACTCTACTCTAACTCTGCCCTGTTCTACTCTACTGTACTCTACTCTACTGTACTCTACTGTACTCTACTCTAACTCTGCCCTGTTCTACTCTACTCTACTCTAACTCTGCCCTGTTCTACTCTACCCTACCCTACCCTACCCTACTCTACTCTACTCTACTCTACTCTACTCTACTCTACTCTACTCTACTCTAACTCTGCCCTGTTCTACTCTACTCTACTCTACTCTAACTCTGCCCTGTTCTACTCTACTCTACTCTAACTCTGCCCTGTTCTACTCTACTCTAACTCTGCCCTGTTCTACTCTACTCTACTCTACTCTAACTCTGCCCTGTTCTACTCTACTCTACTCTACTCTAACTCTGCCCTGTTCTACTCTACTCTACTCTACTCTAACTCTGCCCTGTTCTACTGTACTGTACTCTACTCTACTGTACTCTACTCTTACTCTACTCTTACTCTACTCTTACTCTACTCTACTCTACTCTACTCTAACTCTGCCCTGTTCTACTCTACTGTACTCTACTCTACTGTACTCTACTGTACTCTACTCTACTCTAACTCTGCCCTGTTCTACTCTACTCTACTCTAACTCTGCCCTGTTCTACTCTACCCTACCCTACCCTACCCTACTCTACTCTACTCTACTCTAACTCTGCCCTGTTCTACTGTACTGTACTGTACTCTACTCTACTGTACTGTACTCTACTCTACTCTAACTCTGCCCTGTTCTACTCTACTGTACTCTACTGTACTCTACTCTACTCTAACTCTGCCCTGTTCTACTCTACCCTACCCTACCCTACCCTACCCTACTCTACTCTACTCTACTCTACTCTACTCTACTCTACTCTACTCTAACTCTGCTCTGTTCTACTCTACTCTACTCTACTCTAACTCTGCCCTGTTCTACTCTACTCTACTCTACTCTAACTCTGCCCTGTTCTACCCTACCCTACCCTACTCTACCCTACTCTACTCTACTCTACTCTACTCTACTCTACTCTAACTCTGCCCTGTTCTACTCTACTCTACTGTACTCTACTGTACTCTACTCTTACTCTACTCTCTACTCTTACTCTACTAGCGTAGAGCTTTGCACAGAGGGCGCCGTGAGGCTGATTTCAGAACAGAACCTGAGGCAAAACACACGCTTACGAGTTAAACGGGAGCTCTTCATCCCAAGATATGACACGTGTGTTATTGCAGCGCAGTGACGAGGAAATCAGTCAAAAAAATACAGAAACATGTTTTTTCAAATGCTCTTTTAGATCAGTCTTGTGGCCTGTTCCGTCTCTACACAGAGCCTCACATTAACAGCACTCATTGGTGCCACATGATTGGTGCCACTGTGGGTTATGGCATTATTATTTTTACTAATGATCTACTATGTATGGATGTGACATTCTTATTTATTGGGCTGGGAACTTTAAATAATGGGTTCTGGTGTTGATTATTGTCCCTGCTCAGGAGAAAGTGACATTGACTTCATTAGATGTTTTGTAGAGAAGCTGCTGGTTCTATTCCCTCACTGTGTCTGTCTCCAGTCGGCAGGTTAGAGGAGCGGGAGCTAGAGCTGAAGAAGGAATACAACGCCCTCCATCAGAGACACACAGAGGTGAGACTAAGATGTTTGAAATGGAGTAATATGAGTAACGTAGAGTCACATTATTTTAACATTAATTCACTGTGGAAGCGGTTCATTGTGTCTTCTGACGTTTAAGGATTAGAACGTGCTTAATTACAACATGTTTCTGCGGTAGACTTCTGCGGTTGGGGTCAGTGAGTCCCAAGTTTGAGTCCAGGGTCAAGGCTCCCTCTGCCCCAAAAGACAGAACCATAGAATGGACTGGGACGATGCAACAACACAGCATAGATACAAAAATGTATATACTTATTTATTTGACAGGGACATTGCAAGTCAACATAGAAGAAAACAAGCTTGTAACTAAACTTGAACATTTTCAATATTCTCTTAAAAACATACCTATATACACTGTTTATATTATTTACACACACAAACTCAGTGCTATTTACCAATTCACAATTCAGTGGGTAATGAGGCGTGGTCAGACTGAGGGGGCGTGGTCAGTCTGAGGGTGCGTGGTCAGTCTGAGGAGGCGTGGTCAGTCTGAGGAGGCGTGGTCAGTGTGAGAGAGCGTGGTCAGTCTGAGGGGGCGTGGTCAGTCTGAGGGGGCGTGGTCAGTCTGAGGGAGCGTGGTCAGTCTGAGGGAGCGTGGTCAGTCTGAGGGGCCGTGGTCAGTCTGAGGGGGCGTGGTCAGTCTGAGGGGGCGTGGTCAGTCTGATGGGGCGTGGTCAGTCTGAGGGAGCGTGGTCAGTCTGAGGGAGCGTGGTCAGTCTGAGAAGGTGTGGTCAGTCTGAGGAGGCTTGGTCAGTCTGAGGGGGCGTGGTCAGTGAGGGGGCGTGGTCAGTCTGAGGAGGCGTGGTCAGTCTGAGTAGGCGTGGTCAGTCTGAGTAGGCGTGGTCAGTCTGAGTAGGCGTGGTCAGTCTGAGGGTGCGTGGTCAGTCTGAGGAGGCGTGGTCAGTGTGAGAGCGTGGTCAGTCTGAGTAGGCGTGGTCAGTCTGAGGGGGCGTGGTCAGTCTGAGGAGGCGTGGTCAGTCTGAGGAGGCGTGGTCAGTCTGAGGAGGCGTGGTCAGTCTGAGGGGGCGTGGTCAGTGTGAGGGGGCATGGTCAGTCAGTACCCGATCTGTCAGACTTACCACATCGGTAACAGCAGCTGATGCCGTGTCGCTGACGAAGGCCAACTCTCTCAAACATGTGCTGAGGAAACAGAACTAGCTTCTCTACACTGTGTCAGATTCTTCTGCTGTCGTCCAGATGATCCACAACTACATGGAGCACGTGGAGAGGATCAAACTGCAGCAGGTCAGCGACGCCTCAGAGTCCAGCGCCGTGTCACGAGTCCGGTAAAAACACCTTTTAACGTTTTAAATCAAAGACACTGGTTCAATTCAATTCACTATATTTTTGTATACTATCACAATAGTAGTTCTCATGGAGGACTTTACAAATTCACCAAGACAGATCAGAGAATCAAACCACATGGAGCCATTGGTCTATAAGGGGCTGACGTCCATGAATAAAGTTCATAACATACTGTAGCAGGTTAAATTCACTTCCTGCTTGTTGTAAAAGTTTGGTTTGTGCGGCTGAACAAAAACAGTGGATATAAAGTAAGGTTCTGTGTGTTTGCTGACCACAGGAGGGAGCGGCCTCAGTCCTGCATCTTCCCCTCGTCCGCAGCCACGTCGCTGATCCTCCCGGAGGCCAAGGCCAGAGCGGAGACTCCGGCTACAGAGGGCTGGAGGTTCACCGACCCGGCCCACGACCACTCCAATGCCAGCCTCAAGGTACACACAAGCATCATACAGTATATACGGGCCGGAACGTAAGAAGGTTCAGTTTTCAGGGTTCAGAAGATTCAGTTTTCAGAGTCCAGAAGGATCGGTCCTCAGGGTTCAGAAGGAGCGGTCCTCAGGGTTCAGAAGGATCGGTCCTCAGGGTTCAGAAGGATCTGTCTTTCAGGGTTCAGAAGGATCTGTCTTTCAGGGTTCAGAAGGATCGGTCTTTCAGGGTTCAGAAGGATCTGTCTTTCAGGGTTCAGAAGGATCAGTCCTCAGGGTTCAGAAGGATCGGTCCTCAGGGTTCAGAAGGATCTGTCTTTCAGGGTTCAGAAGGATCTGTCTTTCAGGGTTTAGAAGGATCGGTCTTTCAGGGTTTAGAAGGATCAGTCTTTCAGGGTTTAGAAGGATCGGTCTTTCAGGGTTCAGAAGGATCTGTCTTTCAGGGTTCAGAAGGATCTGTCTTTCAGGGTTCAGAAGGATCTGTCTTTCAGGGTTCAGAAGGATCGGTCCTCAGGGTTCAGAAGGATCTGTCTTTCAGGGTTCAGAAGGATCAGTCCTCAGGGTTCAGAAGGATCGGTCCTCAGGGTTCAGAAGGATCTGTCTTTCAGGGTTCAGAAGGATCAGTCCTCAGGGTTCAGAAGGATCGGTCTTTCTGGGTTCAGAAGGATCTGTCTTTCAGGGTTCAGAAGGATCGGTCTTTCAGGGTTCAGAAGGATCGGTCCTCAGGGTTCAGAAGGATCTGTCTTTCAGGGTTCAGAAGGATCGGTCTTTCAGGGTTCAGAAGGATCGGTCCTCAGGGTTCAAAAGGATCGGTCCTCAGGGTTCAGAAGGATCGGTCTTTCAGGGTTCAGAAGGATCGGTCTTTCAGGGTTCAGAAGGATCTGTCTTTCAGGGTTCAGAAGGATCTTTCTTTCAGGGTTCAGAAGGATCAGTCTTTCAGGGTTCAGAAGTATCGGTCCTCAGGGTTCAGAAGGATCGGTCCTCAGGGTTCAGAAGGATCGGTCATTTCCCAAAGCCAAGACCATAGGTGAAGGTGGTCGACCTCCTCACCACATCAGAACAATTGAGAACTGTTGAACATTTACGATCGGATAGAAATATAGTCCAGCGTGGCCAAAACTCCACATTTAGCTCGGGCTGGAGACGCTGTTCCATGGATGCTTTTGGGCGTACTCTGCCACACTTTCTCGTGGCTGTAACAGAAGCGTTCTTGTGTTCGGAGCATTTAAAAATAGCCTCTTTGATGAAGCCTGGATGAGCTCGGACTGTTTTATCACAGATCTGACAGGGCCTTCTTTGTCTCCCCCATCCCTCCCCCATCTCTCCCCCCTCCTGCGGAGACAGGTGCAGCCACCAGACTACAAATACATACAGGGACTTATAAAACGCCTCCAAAAATCACTACAAAAACAAAAGGGCTACAATTTTGTCATTTTTAAATACTGTACTCTGTTCTTGAGATAACCCTAATTCTTTTTAAGTCTAAACCACACCTTAAAGGAGACATATCATGCTTAATCTATTTTGATGTCATTAGACCAGAGAGAGACCAGTGAGAGACCAGTGAGAGAGACCAGAGAGAGAGACCAGAGAGAGAGACCAGAGAGAGAGACCAGAGAGAGAGACCAGAGAGAGAGACCAGAGAGAGAGACCAGAGAGAGAGACCAGTGAGAGACACACCAGAGTGAGTGACACCAGAGAGAGATCATTCATAATATTTCTTTAAGAGTCAGGCCCATGTTTATTCTCTCTGATGAAACTGGGACAAGGGCTGGTAGTGCGGTGCAGTGCATTGTGGGATGGAGCTGCTGCATGGCTGGGGGCCAGAGGAGCCGTCTGATTGGTCCTTATGTAATCTGTGACACTGCGGCCATAGTGTGGAGGCGAGGTCTTCTACGGATGAGTGACCCGCATACTCTACGTCTCTGTTATTGCCCCGTTTCCACCAGCTCCACTCTACTGTACTCTGCTCTACTCTACTGTACTCTGCTCTACTCTACTGTACTCTACGCTACTCTACTCTCTACCATTCTGCTCTACTCTACTGTACTCTCCACCACTCTGCTCTACTCTACTCTGCTCTACTCTTCTCTATTAATAATAATCATATATCATATATCATAGTTTATTGTGTCGTTTAGCAATAATTATCAATATAAATAATTATAATAGTAAAAATAAAAACGTCTAAGAACATATTAATCTAAACATTTATTTGTTTTTATTTTTAACAATTGCCTTAAGTCCCCTTAATGTGTAAAGTCTGCCTCTGGGCGTCCATGTGAGCAGCCTGGAGTGGGCCCTAACCCTATAACCCTATAAACTGTATAAATGAGCATTGATCCCAGTGTTGAGAAAATGTTGAGACGTCTCATTCTTTTTCAGATGTGGACCGCTAACACTGACATTACATTGATTTGCCGAAAGCACTAACATGTTTCTACGCATTCAGAACACGCTTGACTCTTGACCTTTTTGATTTCCCATTCCAAACTCTCTTCTCTCTCCACCTGCTGCTCCACCCATCCCCGACCGCCCCTGCTCCTGCACGCTCCGCTCTCTCTCCTCCACAACAGCTGGACTTCACGGAGCTCCCCAAGGACAGGGAGGGTAAGGCGGCCCAGGACCCAGCCGCCTCTTGGGGCTCTTCTCTGGCCGACGACTGCAAGGTGAAGAGGGCGCAGTACCTCTGTGTCGCCTGCAGGGGTCACTGTGGTGCTAGTGTTGTGTCGTCACTGCTTGCTACAGATCCAAGCCAAATGCAACCACGTTACAGCGGTGTCTGTGGGCGTTCTAACAATCCAAAAGTCCAAATCCACTATAACAGGGGTCTCCTAACTGTGTTCTGACCAATCAGGCGTTGCTGAACAGAGTGTAGCTAGAGCGGGATGAAAACAAGCACAGATTTTTGGACTAAATTGTGGATTTACAGGAAAAGAAAAATTGACAAGAGAAAAAAGTTCAGGATGACAAGGGACACTAAAATCCCTACAAAATCTATCCTTTGTGAAAGCTGTAGGTTCTCTGTCAGGTTCTCTGTCAGGTTCTCGGTCAGGTTCTCTGTCAGGTTCTCTGTCAGCTGAGGTCGAGCTGTTTTAGTTTACATTGAGTTCTATGGGACGTTTTTCTGGGTAGCCCTCGTGAATTTAGTCTGCAGTACCACAGCGCCCCCTGTGGCCATGGGTGGGACAGCTTTAAGCTAGTAATACCGTATCCACATATCAAGATCCATGTCCTCAGCACTCTCAGCTCCTGTATCGTGGTTAACGCCCCCTGCTGGTGGCTCTCAGCTCCTGTATCGTGGTTAACGCCCTCTGCTGGTGGCTCTCAGCTCCTGTATCGTGGTTAACGCCCTCTGCTGGTGGCTCTCAGCTCCTGTGTTGTGGTTAACGCCCCCTGCTGGTGGCTCTCAGCTCCTGTATCGTGGTTAACGCCCCCTGCTGGTGGCTCTCAGCTCCTGTATCGTGGTTAATACCCCCTGCTGGTGGCTCTCAGCTCCTGTATCGTGGTTAACGTCCCCTGCTGGTGGCTCTCAGCTCCTGTATCGTGGTTAACGCCCCCTGTTGGTGGCTCTCAGCTCCTGTATCGTGGTTAACGCCCCCTGCTGGTGGCTCTCAGCTCCTGTATCGTGGTTAACACCCCCTGCTGGTGGCTCTCAGCTCCTGTGTTGTGGTTAACGCCCTCTGCTGGTGGCTCTCAGCTCCTGTATCGTGGTTAACGCCCCCTGTTGGTGGCTCTCAGCTCCTGTATCGTGGTTAACGCCCCCTGCTGGTGGCTCTGCTCCTGTATCGTGGTTAACGCCCCCTACTGGTGGCTCTCAGCTCCTGTATCGTGGTTAACGCCCCCTGTTGGTGGCTCTCAGCTCCTGTATCGTGGTTAACGCCCCCTGCTGGTGGCTCTGCTCATGTGTCGTGGTTAACGCCCCCCTGCTGGTGGCTCTCAGCTCCTGTATCGTGGTTAACGCCCCCTGCTGGTGGCTCTGCTCCTGTGTCGTGGTTAACGCCCCCTGCTGGTGGCTCTGCTCCTGTGTCGTGGTTAACGCCCCCTGCTGGTGGCTCTCAGCTCCTGTATCGTGGTTAACGCCCCCTGCTGGTGGCTCTCAGCTCCTGTATCGTGGTTAACGCCCCCTGCTGGTGGCTCTCAGCTCCTGTATCGTGGTTGCATCTGTTGCTTCCTCTTCCAGTGTGTGACATGTCTCTGCTTCAGCTCACTTCTGTGTCCCGTACATTCCCACTTCTCCCTCTTCCCTTTAACCCGTCACTGTCGGCTTCTCCTGTGCTTTCTTGTCACTAATATCGCTCTGATGTGTGCACTGCAAAAAATACCTTAAGAATTGACTCATATTCAAGAGTTCTATGCATGTCTAACCAGATTGCAAACTGTTCTTTCGGTGCACATTTTTTGCAGTGCTCCTGGTGTTTATGATGTCATCTTTTTTTATATTCACAAACTTTAATCATTCATTTAACAGTGTAGTGTCGTCACATTCTTTATAGTTTCAGAGTCCTGTCTTTTTCTGTTTAAATAGATGTTTCTTCTGTATATGTTTGCAGTCTTAGTGTTTCCCAACTACAGGTGCACGGACCGCTCTAGGCCTTTATATATTTATTCATGTAAAGAGAAAAAACGCACACTCATTCTTAAATATTGCACATGTTTTTAGTGATGGGGGAATTCGTAGACACAGGGAGAACATGCAAACCTCACACAGAGAGGCCTTGCCTGGAGGCGGAATCGAACTCAGGACCTTGTTGCTGTGAAGTGCAAATGCAAACCAACCCTTGAGCTATTATTTTCAATTTGTGCAGAGAATATGGTTCATAAAACTGATTCAAAAATTACAGCCGGAAAGAGACGTTAAACTTGTAAATACAGTCTTTATAGAAACTTTTCCAAAATTAAGGACCATTTACAAAAGTTTGATGACTTTTCTGTAGTTGCAGTCTCAGAGACTTGGATAAAGGACGGAAAAGTATTTTTGGACAAATTAGACGGCTATGAAATGTTTTCACAGAACAGACTCTATAAAAGAGGGGGTGGGGTTGCTCTGTTTGTTAGAACGGGCTTAGAATGCAGGGTAATCGAAAATATGACTTTTTCTATTGAGAACCTGATGGAGTGCTTAACTATTGAAATTAAAGCCAGAACAACAAAAAACATAATAATAACTTGTATTTATCGCTCTCCTGGTTCTTGTATAGATCAGTTTAATAAAAGGATTTCTGAGTTGTTTGAGCAAAAGGTTAACAAGTTGACTTTGATTTGTGGTGACTTTAACATTGATTTGTTAAAGTCCAATGAGCACTCACAAACTACAGAATTCATTAATACAATGTTTAGCTTGAGCTTCTACCCGCTAATATTGAGGCCAAGCAGGATAACAAAAGATAGTTGTACATTGATTGATAATATATTCTTAAATCAAACTGGTATAAAGACAAAAAGTGGACTCTTGTTAACAGATATTACTGATCACTTGCCTGTTTTCGTTGTGATGGAAATGTTTCATTACAATAAAACACCTCAATATTTGTTCGATATTGTTCACAGACACAAAACACCTATTGCTATTGAAGCCTTGAAATTTGAGCTCTTAAATTATGACTGGCAAGGAATCTATTTTGGAAATGTTAATGATTCCTATAATGCATTCTTAGAAATATTTCTTAATATTTATAAGCATTGCCCTCCAAAACAATATAAGCAAAAATGTAAAAAAGGATCTAAACCGTGGATGTTAAAAAGTTTGGAGAAGGCTTGTAAAAAGAAGAATAAATTATATAAAGAGTTTATGAAAAATCCTACAAAAGAAAAAGAGAAACTGTACAAAGAATATAAAAATAAATTAACAGTTATAATAAGAAGAAGCAAACAAGATTATTATGTTAACTTACTACAAAAATATAAAAAGGATATTAAGGCCACATGGATGGTAATCAATAAAGTAATAGAAAACAAAAAAGAGATGATTTTACCTACAAGTATTAAAAATGCAAATACAACAATTGAAGACAAAAAAGAAATTACAAATGCTTTCAATCAATTTTTTGTGACAGTAGGTCCTAAATTAGCCAATCAGTTACCTACTGTTGGAAATATTGAGTTTCCTACTTCAAATAGCAACACAATGTTCCTAAATGGCGTATGTCAAAGTGATGTTTTAGAAGCAGTATATCAATTTAAAAGTAAGAATTCCACAGATTGTCATGGTATTGATATGTCGCTCATCAAAGATGTCATCCACTGTATTGTTGAGCCTTTAACCTATATTTGCAACAAATCTTTTTCAACTGGTATTGTTCCTGATCAAATGAAAATGGCTAAAGTGATTCCAATTTACAAAAGTGGAAATAAACAACTTTTATCTAATTATAGACCAATTTCACTGTTGCCACAATTCTCAAAAATATTAGAGAAATTGTTTGAAATTAGACTTGATGTTTTTATCAACAAATATGATTTATTGAATGACCATCAATATGGCTTTAGAAGCAATCATTCAACATCCCTAGCAGTGATGGAACTTGTAGAACATGTTGCGACAGCTGTTGATCAAAAGCTCTATACAGTGGGTGTATTTGTTGATTTGAGTAAAGCATTTGATACAATTGACCATGCACAATTGTTGAAAAAGTGTGAATATTATGGCCTTCGTGGTAAAACAAATCAATGGCTGCAAAGCTATCTTAACAACAGATATCAATATGTAAAAATTGATGATGTGGATTCACAGTTCGAAAAAGTTACTTGCGGAGTGCCCCAAGGCTCGGTCCTGGGACCAAAATTGTTTATACTATATCTAAATGATATTTTCACCGTATCACCCATGTTTAAATCCATCATGTTTGCTGATGATACTAACTTTTTTTGTACTGGAAAGAAACTGAATGAATTATTGCAATTAGTAGAAACTGAATTTGTTTTGATCAAAAAGTGGTTTGATTATAACAAGCTATCTTTAAATGAAAACAAGACAAAATTTATGATATTTGCAGGTAACAAAAAAACTGATGGTGTAAAATTACATTTAAATGGAGTGGAAATTGAAAGAGTTTTTGAAGCCAAATTCCTTGGAGTAATCCTAGATCACAAACTTTGTTGGAAACCGCACATTGAATATGTCAAGCATAAGGTGTCAAGGTCAATCGCAATATTGTATAAAACAAGGAATTTATTGAATAAAAAAGGATTGTTTTTGATATATAGTTCTTTAGTTATGTCCCATCTGTCATATTGTGTAGAGATATGGGGGAACGCTGGCAAGACATGTATAGATTCTTTATTTAAATTGCAAAAAAGGGCTATAAGGATTGTAAATGAGGTTGGTTATTGTGAACCAACTAATAATTTATTTATTCAAAATAAAACTCTAAAATTAATGGATATTGTCAACATCAAAGTGTTAGAAATTGTTCACAGGGTTAAAAACAATAACATTCCTAAGCCTATTAAGAGTTTCTTTAAATTAAGGGAAAGTTGTTATAACCTAAGAGGTCTATTTATTTTTGAAAATGTTAAAGTGAGCTCCGTTGTGAAGTCCAGATGTGTTTCAGTTGAGGGTGTTAAGCTATGGAATGGACTAAAAGATGAATTTAAACTATGTATTTCTTTAATTGGATTTAGAAGAATGATTAAACAGAAGCATTTGAGTGATTACCTCAAGCTTGTATGAAATGAAATGGAGATGTGCATGTGTACATATCATTCATTATTCTGTCTGTAAGTCACCAAATAGTTGTTCTTTATTTTTTTGTTATTTGATAAAGTATATCATTAGTGTGATAAGCTGTTTTTAGCATCAGTTATGTGGTTTGAACAAGGATAGGCATAAATAAGCATTGCTTCAGCCTATTCCTTTTTTGGTTGGATATTTTTGTTTTGTTGTTAGTGTTTTTAAATTTAAATGCCTCAACCAAAATAAACCATTCATTCATTCATACAGGTGTAAAGTTGTTTTTATATTTATTATACGTGTGTGTATTTATGTGGAATGGGAAAGTCTCTTCCTCATACTGTTAAGGACTGGGCGGTGGTTAGCACTCACAGCAGAAGGTCCTGGGTTCAGAGTCTTTCTGAGTGGTTTGCATGTTCTCTCTGTGTCTGCGTAGTTTTCCTCTAGGTTCTCCAGTCATAAAAACACACTGTGCCATAAACAAATAAATGAATTGTATATTTCCGAAAAATAGTAACAATATATAAAAAGAATCCTGTTAAATTCAATGTAACTGCATCGCCCTCAATCACAACAGTCGTCTCAGTGGACTTTAAAAGGTTATGGATTCATCAATAACAGACCCAGCGGGAAAAGGGAGAAACCTCGAGTTATTCTGAGTTTCTTACTGAGACATAAAGTTGGGAAGCACTGTGTGTGGTTTTGTTGTGTGTTTTCAGTGTGATTCTGAGGCGTCCTGAAAACACCTGCAGTAACACCTGTAGTAACACTGTAGGTGTGTGTGTGTGTGTGTGTGTGTGTGTGTGTGGTGTTGTTGAAGGAGGAGCTGTCCAACGTCTCCGGGTCTCAGTCCACATCAACCCCGAGCAAAGACCCTGGGACCGGCTCCAGAGCAGTGGGTAAGGACGTGTGTGTGTCTCTCCCTCTGTGCTTGTGTGTATCTCTCTCTCTCTGTATGTGTGTGTCTTTCTCTGTATGTGTGTGTGTCTCTCTCTCTCTGTATGTGTGTGTCTTTCTCTGTATGTGTGTCTCTCTCTCTCTCTCTCTGTATGTGTGTGTCTTTCTCTGTATGTGTGTGTGTCTCTCTCTCTCTGTATGTGTGTGTCTTTCTCTGTATGTGTGTCTCTCTCTCTCTCTCTGTATGTGTGTCTCTCTCTCTCTCTGTATGTGTGTCTCTCTCTCTCTCTCTCTATATGTGTGTCTCTCTCTCTCTCTCTCTCTCTCTCTCTCTCTGTATGTGTGTCTTTCTCTGTATGTGTGTCTCTCTCTCTCTGTATGTGTGTGTCTCTCTCTGTATGTGTGTGTGTCTCTCTCTCTCTGTATGTGTGTCTTTCTCTGTATGTGTGTCTCTCTCTCTCTGTATGTGTGTCTTTCTCTCTCTGTATGTGTGTCTTTCTCTGTATGTGTGTCTCTCTCTCTCTCTCTCTCTCTCTCTGTATGTGTGTCTCTCCCTCAGTGTGTGTCGTTCTCTGTATGTGTGTGTCTCTGTCTCTTAATGTGTCTGTCTCTCCCTCAGTGTGTGTCTTTCTCTGTATGTGTGTGTCTATGTCTCTTAATGTGTCTGTCTCTCCCTCAGTGTGTGTCTGTCTCTGTGTGTGTCTTGTGCATGGTTTTACCCTTCACCATACAGTATGTTTTCTCCCAAAGATATGATGTCACATGGTAAACCATGAGATGTTTTCAGGAGCCACTGACAGAGACCAGAGCTCAGACGTGCAGGACATCATCGAGTCCACCCCCGAGCTGGACATGGACCTGATCGGTACCAGACCCTGCAGGTGACACACCCCAGGACCCCGTCACAACGGTCTGGAGTTAGGCTCTAGTCCAGGGGTCTCCAACCTGTCGCTCGGGAGCCCCCAGTAGCTCGCCAAAGGATTTAGAAATGAACAAATCAAATAATATACTTAAAGATGCAGTCAGTGATTTTTTACAGACGCATTTTTTTAAAATATTGTGGGAAAACGTCCCTAATCCCTAAAAGTATCAAGTTATTGTGTGTTTTCAAATAGTGATGGAATTGACCAGATTCCTGTAGTCCTCAGAAATTAGTAAAACCATTCAGGACTGAGGCTGTAGATCCAGGACTGAGACTGGGGCTGTAGATCCAGGACTGAGACTGGGGCTGTAGATCCAGGACTGAGACTGGGGCTGTAGATCCAGGACTGAGACTGGGGCTGTAGATCCAGGACTGAGACTGGGGCTGTAGATCCAGGACTGAGACTGGGGCTGTAGATCCAGGACTGAGACTGGGGCTGTAGATCCAGGACTGAGACTGGGGCTGTAGATCCAGGACTGAGACTGGGGCTGTAGATCCAGGACTGAGACTGGGGCTGTAGATCCAGGACTGGGACTGAGGCTGTAGATCCAGGACTGGGACTGAGGCTGTAGATCCAGGACTGGGACTAGAGTTTCGCTTTTCAGCCCGAGCCCGAGCAGGCCCGAGGCCCGACCTGAGTTCGGGCCGGGCTTGGGCCTCATTTGGCACCGTAACCAGCGTGTCCTACAGCAGCAGCGAGCCGTGAACGCATCATCCCCGTGTCTCCTGCTGCTGTGGTCAACAGTGAACAGGAACAACAGTAGAAATGGATCAAGTGGAGACAAAACAAATTCAAAAGTGGAGACTAAACCTGCAATTGGAAGGTGAGTGCGTACAACAAAGAAATCAGATGTGTCGGGTTCTGTCGGGCTCGGGCCTGTTATACAGCGTTCATTGGTCGGGCTTATACGGGCTCGGGCTTAACATTAGCGGGCTCGGGCCGGGTCGGGCTTCATTTCTCAGGCCCGAACGAAACTCTAACTGGGACTGAGGCTGTAGATCCAGGACTGGGACTGTAGATCCAGGACTGGGACTGGGGCTGTAGATCCAGGACTGAGGCTGTAGATCCAGGACTGGGACTGAGGCTGTAGATCCAGGACTGGGGCTGTAGATCCAGGACTGAGGCTGTAGACCCGAGACTGTCACTTTAACATTTAAACTTAAACAATAATAAATATATTTTTAACAGCCTCTTTCTTGTTTATGTTTACCCTTAAAAGAAAATCTGCCATTTATACTTATCCATCAGCTTCTCCTCAGCCTCAGAGACCGTAGTCTATCTTTAGTCCTGGCTTTTGCTAACATCTATTCAGCCTTGATCTGGTCCCAGCCGTTGACCCAGACCTGTGTGACCCAGGCCTGTGTGACCCAGGCCTGTGTGACCCAGGCCTGTGTGACCCAGACCTGTGTGACCCAGGCCTGTGTGACCCAGGCCTGTGTGACCCAGGCCTGTGTGACCCAGACCTGTGTGACCCAGACCTGTGTGACCCAGACCTGTGTGACCCAGGCCTGTGTGACCCAGACCTGTGTGACCCAGGCCTGTGTGACCCAGGCCTGTGTGACCCAGGCCTGTGTGACCCAGGCCTGTGTGACCCAGACCTGTGTGACCCAGGCCTGTGTGACCCAGGCCTGTGTGACCCAGGCCTGTGTGACCCAGACCTGTGTGACCCAGGCCTGTGTGACCCAGGCCTGTGTGACCCAGGCCTGTGTGGTCCTCTTGCAGCACCCCCACAGAAGGCATTGAGAACAAGGCCTTCGACCGCAACACGGAGTCGCTGTTCGAGGAGCTGTCGTCCGCCGGCACCGGGCTCATCGGGGACGTGGACGATGGTGCAGACCTGCTGGGTAAGGCTCACACACACCAGGAAGACTATGTGGAACTGCCGATCATGATCACCAGGTTTTACAGATGGTTATTAGGGATGCACCGATACAACACTGGTGTCAGGGTCGGAACTAGATCATTAACGGGACGGAAGCGGCAGTAACAATCCTACTTTCGAATTAGTTTTAGACTAATAAGTCCTTAAGTGGTCCTTAAGTTTTAGGCGTCTGAGTAAGATGGTTAAGGTTAGGGTTAAGGTGGGTCTGAGTAAGATGGTTATGGTTAAGGTGGTCTGAGTAAGATGGTTAGGGTTAAGGTGGTCTGAGTAAGATGGTTAAGGTTAGGGTTAAGGTGGGTCTGAGTAAGATGGTTAAGGTTAGGGTTAAGGTGGTCTGAGTAAGATGGTTAAGGTTAGGGTTAAGGTGGTCTGAGTAAGATGGTTAAGGTTAGGGTTAAGGTGGGTCTGAGTAAGATGGTTAAGGTTAGGGTTAAGGTGGTCTGAGTAAGATGGTTAGGGTTAAGGTGGTCTGAGTAAGATGGTTAAGGTTAGGGTTAAGGTGGTCTGAGTAAGATGGTTAAGGTTAGGGTTAAGGTGGGTCTGAGTAAGATGGTTAAGGTTAGGGTTAAGGTGGGTCTGAGTAAGATGGTTAAGGTTAGGGTTAAGGTGGTCTGAGTAAGATGGTTAAGGTTAGGGTTAAGGTGGTCTGAGTAAGATGGTTAAGGTTAGGGTTAAGGTGGTCTGAGTAAGATGGTTAAGGTTAGGGTTAAGGTGGTCTGAGTAAGATGGTTAAGGTTAGGGTTAAGGTGGTCTGAGTAAGATGGTTAAGGTTAGGGTTAAGGTGGTCTGAGTAAGATGGTTAAGGTTAGGGTTAAGGTGGTCTGAGTAAGATGGTTAAGGTTAGGGTTAAGGTGGTCTGAGTAAGATGGTTAAGGTTAGGGTTAAGGTGGGTCTGAGTAAGATGGTTAAGGTTAGGGTTAAGGTGGTCTGAGTAAGATGGTTAGGGTTAAGGTGGTCTGAGTAAGATGGTTAAGGTTAGGGTTAAGGTGGTCTGAGTAAGATGGTTAAGGTTAGGGTTAAGGTGGTCTGAGTAAGATGGTTAAGGTTAGGGTTAAGGTGGTCTGAGTAAGATGGTTAGGGTTAAGGTGGGTCTGAGTAAGATGGTTAGGGTTAGGGTTAAGGTGGTCTGAGTAAGATGGTTAAGGTTAGGGTTAAGGTGGTCTGAGTAAGATGGTTAAGGTTAGGGTTAAGGTGGTCTGAGTAAGATGGTTAAGGTTAGGGTTAAGGTGGTCTGAGTAAGATGGTTAAGGTTAAGGTTAAGGTGGTCTGAGTAAGATGGTTAAGGTTAGGGTTAAGGTGGTCTGAGTAAGATGGTTAAGTAGCAATGCAAGACTCAGTGGAAACGCTGTGGTGAAAAGAGGTCGCTGTCTTACTCACTTTAGTTCATTTGATTCTGAGCAGCTAAATAATCAGAATATATAGCTACCACCACTATCAATAAACATATTTTTATTCATAGAATCCATAAATGTGTGTATTGTTCTGATATTCCGTTTATTTCCTGAGATATGAATTAATAAAGTTGACGAATATGAGGCAGAGTGGGCCACAGATAGTCTGGACTCTGAAAAAAAATGAGTCGGGATATCCTCGGCATTCCGCGCGGGTTAATGACGTCGCCGCGAGGTGATATTTACCGGGTAAACAGATCACTTATTACTGCGCATTACGGTGAAAGCGGCATCTCTCCAGCTGTTGCGGTTACGGAGATATAATCCGACGAACTTAATAGCAAAATACACGGTAAGTAACCGGGATTTTGGAAAACCAACACCACACACATACATCTAAGATTATAAGCTTTAGAATGATGGTATATTTGAATCATGTCACGGTTGTTTTGACCCGCGGATCAGTGAATAAAGTTGAAAAACCGCCGCGCTCATCACACACTGTGCTCTGCTGCTGAAGCGGCACGCAAGTCCGGGCGAGTCCACTTTTCCGGGGGGTAGAAACGCGAGTCACGTGGCCCAAACGGACCAATGCCATTGGTTGGACTAATCCATTTTACATGTTAACAAGGGTGTTTGGGTTGTTAACATGTTTAAAGCTCGGGTCTGTAACTTTAGTCTCATAAATAACATGCTTAAAGCTGAGGTCTGTAACTTTAGACTCGTAAATAACACATTTTTAAAGTTGAGGTCTGTAACTTTAGTCTGATAAATAACATGTTTAAAGTTGAGGTCTGTAACTTTAGTCTCATAAATAACACATGTTTAAAGCTGGGGTCTGTAACTTTAGTCTCATTAATAACGTTTAAAGCTGAGGTCTGTAACTTTAGTCTCGTAAATAACACATTTTTAAAGCTGAGGTCTGTAACTTTAGTCTGATAAATAAGATGTTTAAAGCTGAGGTCTGTAACTTTAGTCTCATAAATAACACATGTTTAAAGCTGGGGTCTGTAACTTTAGTCTCATTAATAACGTTTAAAGCTGAGGTCTGTAACTTTAGTCTCGTAAATAACACATTTTTAAAGCTGAGGTCTGTAACTTTAGTCTGATAAATAAGATGTTTAAAGCTGAGGTCTGTAACTTTAGTCTCATAAATAACACATGTTTAAAGCTGGGGTCTGTAACTTTAGTCTCATTAATAACGTTTAAAGCTGAGGTCTGTAACTTTAGTCTCATTAATAACATGTTTAAAGCTCGGGTCTGTAACTTTAGTCTCATAAATAACACATGTTTAAAGCTGAGGTCTGTAACTTTAGTCTCATAAATAACACGTGTGTGTGTGTGTGCATATGCCAAAAACATTTCTAAGCATCATATTTAGATTGCTCCATCAATTACCTTTATTTTGATATATTACATAGTAGTTTGAAAAAAATGTTTTCCGGATTTCCTGTTGGCAGCCATCTTGGATAAGCTGGCGGCCATATTGGAATCGGGGTCGGCCAAATTGTAAAATGAATATTGAATTCAACATCCCTGAATTGTTTCCTTCTTTACTGTGAATTTTAATGTTTATAGTTAGTAAAATAGGGAAGTTACAGCACTTAGAAGATGAATAAAGGCTTGAACTGGCTGAATAGAAGGTTCCACAGTATCCCTTTGTTTTAAACCAAATTACTTTCACTATAAGCGCCTAAAAGCACTTATCAATATGGTAATAAAATCATAACCACTTATCCGATTTTCATAATTCAAAAACTGTTTTATTCCTCTTACTGAGCTGGAAAGTACTGTGCTGAATTAAATCTGATTTGGTAATTTAAAAATTGTAATCTTGCATTGCTAGGTTAAGGTTAGGGTTAAGGTGGGTCTGAGTAAGATGGTTAAGGTTAGGGTTAAGGTGGTCTGAGTAAGATGGTTAAGGTTAGGGTTAAGGTGGTCTGAGTAAGATGGTTAAGGTTAGGGTTAAGGTGGTCTGAGTAAGATGGTTAAGGTTAGGGTTAAGGTGGTCTGAGTAAGATGGTTAAGGTTAGGGTTAAGGTGGTCTGAGTAAGATGGTTAAGGTTAGGGTTAAGGTGGTCTGAGTAAGATGGTTAAGGTTAGGGTTAAGGTGGTCTGAGTAAGATGGTAAGGTTAGGGTTAAGGTGGTCTGAGTAAGATGGTTAAGGTTAGGGTTAAGGTGGTCTGAGTAAGATGGTTAAGGTTAGGGTTAAGGTGGTCTGAGTAAGATGGTTAAGGTTAGGGTTAAGGTGGTCTGAGTAAGATGGTTAAGGTTAGGGTTAAGGTGGTCTGAGTAAGATGGTTAAGGTTAGGGTTAAGGTGGTCTGAGTAAGATGGTTAAGGTTAGGGTTAAGGTGGTCTGAGTAAGATGGTTAAGGTTAGGGTTAAGGTGGTCTGAGTAAGATGGTTAAGGTTAGGGTTAAGGTGGTCTGAGTAAGATGGTTAAGGTTAGGGTTAAGGTGGTCTGAGTAAGATGGTTAAGATTAGGGTTAAGGTGGTCTGAGTAAGATGGTTAAGGTGGTCTGAGTAAGATGGTTAAGATTAGGGTTAAGGTGGTCTGAGTAAGATGGTTAAGATTAGGGTTAAGGGCGCGACACACGGGAGGCGACAAATGAGAGCGATCAGCAAAACTCAACGCTGTCGCTCAGATAACATGACAGACGGGGCGCGATGCGGCAAGCGGCACAGGCCGGCGATGCCACCTCCGCTGATTGGTTCTCACCTTGACGACAGCGTCGAAAAGTTGAGCCGATTTCAACTTTCTGGGATCGCGTCGTTGACCCGCGCGTGCACGATACATGCACGAGCGGGAGGATTTCACACGCACGTTTTTCGCCCGTCGCTGAGCAGGAGGCTCGCTAGCGATTGACGCTATGTCGCGCACGTCCCATTGAAAATGAATGGAGGCGATGCGATGTCGCCTCCCGTGTGTCGAGCCCTTCAAGGTGGGTCTGAGTAAGATGGTTAAGGTTAGGGTTAAGGTGGGTCTGAGTAAGATGGTTAAGGTTAGGGTTAAGGTGGTCTGAGTAAGATGGTTAGGGTTAAGGTGGGTCTGAGTAAGATGGTTATGGTTAAGGTGGGTCTGAGTAAGATGGTTATGGTTAAGGTGGGTCTGAGTAAGATGGTTATGGTTAAGGTGGTCTGAGTAAGATGGTTATGGTTAAGGTGGTCTGAGTAAGATGGTTAAGGTTAGGGTTAAGGTGGTCTGAGTAAGATGGTTAGGGTTAAGGTGGTCTGAGTAAGATGGTTAAGGTTACGGTTAAGGTGGGTCTGAGTAAGATGGTTATGGTTAGGGTTAAGGTGGTCTGAGTAAGATGGTTAAGGTTAGGGTTAAGGTGGGTCTGAGTAAGATGGTTAAGGTTAGGGTTAAGGTGGTTGAGTAAGATGGTTAAGGTGGTCTGAGTAAGATGGTTAAGGGTTAGGGTTAAGGTGGGTCTGAGTAAGATGGTTAAGGTTAGGGTTAAGGTGGTCTGAGTAAGATGGTTAAGGTTAGGGTTAAGGTGGTCTGAGTAAGATGGTTAAGTTTAGGGTTAAGGTGGTCTGAGTAAGATGGTTAAGGTTAGGGTTAGGTGGTCTGAGTAAGATGGTTAAGGTTAGGGTTAAGGTGGGTCTGAGTAAGATGGTTATGGTTAGGGTTAAGGTGGTCTGAGTAAGATGGTTAAGGTTAGGGTTAAGGTGGGTCTGAGTAAGATGGTTAAGGTTAGGGTTAAGGTG